CGACTCCAAGCGGCCTTGGCCTGGCCCAGCGAGAGAAGCTGGCGGGTGGCCAGGGCTGGCCAGGCCCCCGGGAGGCAGAGCGGGCGAGCAGGGGCAGAGCCCGCGGGCCACGGTCAGTGGTGCCACAGACCCGCCCCCATCAGGCCCATCGAGTGGGCGCTTGGCAAGCCCACCAGGGCACGCCAGGCTGCCCGCAGCCCCAGAGGTGACCCCTCACGCCAGCACACCTGCAGGACACCCCAGACTGGGAAGAGGGTCCGACCCTCCAGGAACCTGCAGCCACGTGGCAGGAGGAAGTCTGTGGGCGCCGAGAGAGCCCCGTCCCGCTGATCCCACAGAGGGGTCCGGCGCCCTGCAAGCTCCTCCCCCTGTGAGGCCCCACCAGCAGCCCAGGGCTCTCGGGGTGCCAGGGCCACGCTGCCCCGTCCACGGCTGTGGCGCCCACATGCCGTCCTCGGGCGCAGAATGTGGAGCCCAGATACGGTCACACCTGACTCCTGAAACCCCTCAGCGCTGAGGGCAGGCTCTGCTCCACGATGGGCCCACTGAGGAGACACGGCCCAGGCCACAGAGGAGACACGGCCCAAAGGTCCCACAGAGGAGACACGCTCAGAGGCCACCGAGGAGACACCTCCTGAGACAGGGGAAGATTCTCTTCCACGGCTTGTCCTGGGCTTCCGGGGCAGCTGACCAGCCCCTTCCCACTCAGGGGCCTGTCGCCCAGCCCCGAGCCACGACCTTCTCACGGATGCCCACACCTTCCCGCCCGCGGGCTGGGATCCCGGAAACGGGCCTGGATGGGAGGCGCGTCAGGTCCTGCTGCGGCCCAGGTGGGACTTGGACACAGGCTGTGATGTGGCTCTGGGCTGTGGGCGGCCACGGCCGGGGGCGGGAAGGCACATGACCCAGCCCAAGGAGGCCCCTGCCAGGCCCCAGGGACAGTCACGGCCCCTGGGCGGAGGCTGAGACTCGCAGCCGCGTCCCCGCACACACGCGCCCTCCGCAGACTCCAGCCCCAGACACTGCACGGTGACTGTCCCCCACAGTCCTCACAGGAGGCAAAGCGTGAGGAACCTTCCAGAACATGGCCGGCAGCAGGGAAGCAGAGGCCCAGGCAGACCTGGCGTCCAGCTCTGTGCCTCGGTTTCCTCATCTGCACAGAGCTGCTGCCCTTCATGACCCCATGTGATCCGCCATGAGCCTGTGTCCCTCTGCCCCTCAGACCACCTACGAGCCCCCAAAAGCAGCACCCACTGCCTCCCACCCTGAAAGCTCTCAGCCGACTGAGCACCCAGTACCTTGCCCCCGGCCCACTGAGCACCCAGCACCCTGTCCTGGCCCACTGAGCATCCACCATCTTGTTCCTGTCCCACTGAGCACCCAGCACCCTCTCCCACCAGCCCACTGAGCACCCAGCACCCTGGCCCTGGCCCACTGAGCCCCCAGCCCAGCTCAGGCTTTCTGCCCGAGTGCCAGCTGGCATGTGGGGAGTGAGGTGCCTGTGGCATGCGCTAAAATGGGTGCCCACAGCCTCAGTTTCCCCTTTGCACCACTTCCACCTCTTGCCTGCCGTCTACTACTCCTGGCTGGAAGGGGAAGGGCGGCGTCAGTGGTCAGCCCGAGGAGGTGCTGGGCCGGGCACAGGCTCCCTCCATGGGCACGCGCAGTCCCCGGGCTGGTCGCTGGAGGCAGCACTGGCTGACCAGGTCAGGGGCCCCGAGGCCAGACCCTCACCCAGCAGTGTCTCCCAGTCGCCCTGTGTGGGACAAGGCGCGGGGTGCTGAGGGCTTGGAGTGGGGGAGGGGCAAGGGTGGGAGGGGTCTGCACCCCCAGGTCTGCCTGGCCACTGTGAGCCATGTGAGCCACTTCCTCTGGGTGCTGCCAGGAGCCAAGGGACACCCAGAGGGGACAGAGGACGTGGCTGGGACCCACTGGAAGGGTGGCAGGCCCTCACAGAGACCCCAGGACCCCCAGATCCACACAGAGACCCCCAAGACCCCTCAGATCCACAAAGAGACCCCAGGACCACCCTGATCCACACAGAGACCCCAGGACCACCCAGATCCACACAGAGACCCCCAAGACCCCCCAGATCCACGCAGAATCCCAGGAACCTGGGACCACCCAGACCCACACAGGCCACTTGGGTCCGGCAGAGCCCAGCAATGGCCCGGGGCCCACCGCGGAGCTTCAGGACCTCGGCCTGCAGAGGGGTGACACCTGCAGTCACACTTGCTCCACACAGCCCCACCCCTCCACAAAGCCTCACTGAGCACTCACACTCACGCTCACTCACTCACACATGCACACTCACACCACAGCTGACACACACATGCACGTTACACGTGTCCACGAAACACGCCAACACACATGCTGACTCACGCTCACATGCACACACACACTCGCACTCACTCTCACACACATGCACCTTCACACACACACCCCATACACACACGCTCCCTCACTCACACACATGCTCCTTCACACTCACACTCACACTCACGCACCCTCATGTACCCTCACATTCACACATTCTCACACACACTCATACACACGCATGCTCACACACTCACTCATACACACACACACACTCATACGCACACCTACTCTCACACACACCCTCACACTCCCTCACCAGCCCCTCCGCCGTGACCCCGACAGGCCCGAGGAGGCTGGGTGCTGGGGTCCCCTCTGGGGCCGAGGCCCAGCAAAGGCTCTGGCCCGTGGGCCACTGGTTCCGCTGATGGTGGCCCCACTCAGGGCTGTCATCACAGTCCCAACTCCCAGGACGCACCCAGAGGCCCTGGAGGGAGCAGGGCAGCGTCAGGCAAGGCAGGCAGGGGGCTGGCCTCGATGCTCCCCGAGGACCGCCCCCATTCCGCTCTGCTCCTCCGGGCAGGGGGCACCACGAGGCCACCCAGGGAGGCCCCAGGGGACCCCAGGAGACCCCAGGAGGTCCCAGGACAGCCCAGGAGACCCCAGGAAGTCTCGGGAGACCCCAGGAGACCTCAAGAGGTCCCAGGAGGTCCCAGGAGACCCAGAAGGTCCCAGGAGACCCCAGGAGGTCCCAGGACAGCCCAGGAGACCCCAGGACGCCCCAGAGGACCCGGAGACGGGGAGCCCTGGCTGCGGGAAGGGGCGAGCCTGGGGGTCCGTCCCTGTCCCGCCCTGCCCCTCACCCTCCGCCCCGCCTGCTCCCCGCACAGGGCGCCGAGAACGGGGTGAACAAAGGCCCTACACCCCAGGCCAGGCCCCAGCGCCCCGGGCGGAAGGGGGTCCCGGGCAGTCCACGGCGGGCAGACGCGCAGTGGCCGCGCAGAGAGGGGCGCGGGCGGCGGGCGGCGGGCGCGGGGCGCGGACGCCACGGCAGGGCGGGGGCGCCATCTAGCGGCGGGGCGGGGCGCTGCGCCGCGGGGACGCCCGCTGTCGGGGGCGCGGGCAGTGGGGAGGGGGCGAGGCGCGGGTCCCCCACCCGACCCCGACTCTGGTTTCTAAGGCGACTGCGAGAAGGGGTGATTTCTCCCTGCGCCCAACCCAGGTCTGGGTGCAGCCCCGGGGAAGGGGCAGGGAGGGGGCCTGGGGACCCCCAGGTGGGCGCAGGGCGTCTGCCCTACCTCCAAGCCGGCGCCCCCCGGTAAGGCCATACGCGGGTACTAGCGGGGGTCGCTTCTCCAGGCCTCAGCACGGGCTGGGGCAGGAAGACCCCCCAGCCCTTTCCCGGGAGTTGGGATCCCTCTCACCAGAGATCTGAGGGGGTTGGAGCCAGTCGGTCTGGGGGACTCTCAGGATGTCCCCTCCAGCACCCTCAGAAAATTAAGGGGGTCTCCTGGACAGGAAGCTGTGTGGTCAGGGCGTGGGCCCACCTGGGCAGCGGGAGCTGGGGTGCCCCAGGACAGACCCCTGCACTCTGGAGAGGACTTGGCAGCACGGTGGGGGGGTCTCCTGTTGTTCTGACCTGGGGGTGGGCTGGAAGCTGTACCGGGGTCTGCAGGTCAGGAGAGACCCCGACAGACGCCCCCCCATCCGCTGGCCTCCCTGTCCACTCCCTGCCCAGCGCACCAGGGGCCCAAGTGCCACCAGCTCACTTGGCCCTGGCCCAGTTGGGGCTGCCCCGGCCCCCTGCAGGGGACAGCCCTGGCCCTGGTCTCCCAGACCCTCATTCCCTGCGGCTCCCTGATGCCCTGCAGAGGGTGGCAGGAGCTTAAGGGGCTCTACAGGTCCTAGAAACCTGTGTGTGAAGTTGGGGTCACAGACACCCGCACCCCACTGTCTGTAAAATGCAGAGGCCCCACCTGGAAAAGTCCCGAGCCCGCAGCCCGCACCCCCCCCAGATGGAGAGAACATTTGCATGCTGGTGGGAGCAGGGGCGTGGGTCGGGGGGTGCAGAGCAGAGACCCAGCGGGTCCTCTGCAAACTTAAGTTGGTCTTCGCGGGAGCACCTACCATTCTGGAGGAAGCAAAGGGGGACCCAGAGATGGCCACTGAGCCCGAGTAGCCGGGGAGCCGGCCTCCTCCCCCCTGCCCGCCCACCTTTGTCTCGGGAATCATTTTTTTCCCCTGAACTCGGAGGCTGCAGGTGAAAACGGAGCCCCGGCAGCCACGGGGGAAAAAAATGAGTCTTTTTTAGGGTTAAACATCATAAGACAGGCTTGCGCTGTAGTGGCCAATCAGATCCGGCCCTGCCAGCTATAATATCGCACTGACGGTCTCCCTCTCCCAGGCTCCAGCCTTGCTACCATTGAAAATCAGACTCTTTTTGTCTCTTGATTGCTGTCTGCCGCCGAACTCCGATGTGTTCCGTTATCAGCGCGCAGCAGCCTGCCGCCGCAGCCCCTGCCTGGGTGGGGAGCGCAGACCACCGCGCGGCCGCGGCGCGGGCCCCGGGCGCGTAGGCAGAGAAAGGCGCGGCGCGGCGCGGCGAGAGGAGCGGCCGGAGCCTGCGCTCGGCGCCCGCGTGCTCGGCCAGGGCGCCCGGCTGGGCGGGCGCGGGCGGGCGGCGCGATGCTGCTGCCGCCGCTGCGGTGCCTCCTGCTGCTGCTGCTGGGCTGCTGGCTGCTGGCGCGCCCCGGGCTGGCGTGCGGGCCCGGCAGGGGCTTCGGCAAGAGGCGGCACCCCAAGAAGCTCACCCCGCTCGCCTACAAGCAGTTCATCCCCAACGTGGCCGAGAAGACCCTGGGCGCCAGCGGGAGGTACGAGGGCAAGATCTCCAGGAACTCGGAGCGCTTCAAGGAGCTCACGCCCAATTACAACCCCGACATCATCTTTAAGGATGAGGAGAACACGGGGGCCGACCGGCTGATGACTCAGGTGAGCCCCGGACTCGCTCCGCGGCCCGGCGGCGGCCGAGGGGGCTCTCGCCTGCCGGGGCAGAAGTTCGGGGCGGGGGGTGCGGCGCGGGACGGGCGGGCAGCTCTTTTGTCGGTCCACTTGCCGCTGGACCGGCCGGCCTGCCAACTCGGAGACCTCCCCCGCTCCGGAGCCTCTCTGGAGACGGAGAGCGACCCGGCCGCCCCCACCACCTGCAGCCCCCCGACGCGGACCCCACGGGGAGAAGCCCGCACCGGGTCTGACAAAAGGCGGGGCGGGCCAGGGGCGCGGGCCAGCGTCGGACTCACCGCGGCGGCCGCTGGGGCCCAGGGGCACGCGCCTGAGTCCCCTTCCTGATGCTGGTCCCCGGGCCGGGCCGGAGGGGAGGGACCGAGACCTTGAGGGCGCCGCGCCGCGCCGGGGTCCGGTCCGACCCGCGCACCTGGGCCGGCCGGGCAGCCGCCCCCCGCGCCCGGCCTCCCCGCCCCGCGCCCGCCGAGGCCAGACTTTCTGCAACTCGCGCAACTGAAGCCAGAAATGGATTTCCGCGCAAATATAGGTCAACATCTTTTTTATTGGCCTATTAAAATATTCAAGTCGTACCTTGAGGGCTCGGAGCGCCCCGGAGCTGCCGAGCTGCGCCGCTGGGGCGCAAGTGCAGGGCTGGGGGAAGGGAGAGGGGCAGCCCCGGGCCGCGCGCGCCGGCGCCCCCGACGGCCCGGGCCCGCGCCCCCCGGGGCCGCGAGCGAGCCTGGCAGCGGCTCGCGGGCACCCGTCCGGGCGGCGCCCCGAGCGGCCTGCGGGGGCGGCGGCCCGGAACCCCCGCGACGAGGCCGGGCCGCGGCGCAGCCCCCCGGCCGGCCGGTCCCACCCGCGCCCCGGCCCCGCGCGCGGGCCGCGGCGTTTGAACTTCTGACCTTCCGTCAACTTCCCCCATGCAGGAACGAAAACAAATACTTTTCCCCGGGCCGGGGCTGCTCCCCGCGAGGAGCACAAAAGGCGGGGGGAGGGGCGGCGGGCGGGCTGGGGGCCGCGGGGCGCACCCCACCTGCGCGCCCGGGTCCCGCGAGCCGGGGGCGGGGCGGCCCGGCGCGCCCGGCCGCGCCTGTCCCCGCGCGCCCCGCGGCCCGCGCCCGCCGCCCCGGACCCCGCTCTCCGCGCGCCCGGCGCCCGGACCTGCCGCCCGAGCCCCTCAACCATGGCCGAGCGTCCGCGCTGGAACTTGGGGCCGCTCTGGAACGCTGGAGGGAGGGGCTGGTTAATATTAACCGGAGAGCAGACGCGCGCTGCCCGCGCAGGCCGCAGTGCCAGCGGGTGCGGGCGGCGGGGCGCCGGGAGGGGAGACCCGCGCCCACGCCGCGGACGTGCCTGGGGGAGGGGCCCTGCCCGTCCGAGGGGGGCGTTCTGGACGCGCGCGCCGGGACCCCTGGAAGTTGGGACCCTGCCCCGCACGGGCAGCTCGCCGGCGCGGGCTCGGGCGGGGGCACCGACACAAAGCGCGGCCCGCGGCCCCGCGGGGCTTCCCGGCGGCGGCACCCGGCGGGCAGGGCGCGCGGCCACCCGGGGACCCGCGGCCCCGCGCCGCCTCCCGGCCCCGCCGCGCGCGAGCGGCCCGGGCGGGGCGCGCGGGAGGCCGCGGGCGCGGGGCTCGGCCGCGGGCCCCGGGGGCGCCGCCGCGGGCGGGGGGCGGCGGGGCCGCGGGCTCGGGGTGCGGGGCCGCGCGGGGCCGTGCGTGCGCGTGCGTGCGCGTGCGCGTGCGCAACGGCGGCGCGGCCCGGAGCGCGGCGGCTCCGCGGGCGGCTTCCCGGGAAGGCGCGTTCCGTGGCGGGGGTGACCTCGCGCGCCGCCGGCCCCGCTGTCGGGGCTGCGCCGTTGCTCCCGTCGTCGTCCCGCGGCCGAGCGCCTGCGCCCCTCCCCGCCTGCGCGCGCGGACGGTCCCGGGCCGCCCCGGCCCGCTGCCCCCCGCGTGTCGTGCGTTCACCCTGCAACCGCGCCGCCGCCTCTGCGGCCGCCAGACCCACGGGCTCTTCCTGTTGCGCAACGCCGCGGCCCGGCGCGCGCCCCCTCGCAGGACCGGGGCGGGGGGCCCGCGCGCACACCCCCACCCGGGGTCGGCTGGGAGTTCCGAGCCGGGCCCGGCCCTCCCGCGGCCCCGCGCCTCGCGCCCCGCCGCCCCGGGCCGCGTCCTTCTCCCGCGGGGGCGCGCCCCCCCACCCCCGCGCCGCCGGGGCGCAGGGCTGGCCCGCCGCTCCCCTCCCCCACCGAAGTTTGCTCTCCCAACTCGCCGGACACCCTTCGGCTCCGCCCGGGCCAAGGAACAAGAGGGGGCAGGGAGGGGAGCAGGTGAGGGAAAACAAGACACAATCGGCGCGCAGGGCCGAGCGCCGGCGCGGACTCCGCGGGAAGGAATGTGCGTGCAGATAAGGAATGTTTGTGCTGCGCGCGGACCCGCCCTCACCTGGGCCCCGCGCCCCGCGCCCCGCACTCGCGCCTCGCCCAGCGCGGGGGGCCGGGAGGGTCCCGCGCACGCCGGGCTCTGGCCCGGGGAGAAGAGGCCGCCGCGCTTCGCGTCGGGCGGCCCGCGGGCCTCTCCGCGGATGCGCGCGGGAGTGGGGCCGCTGCCCCGCAGACACCGGGGCAGAGTGGGGTGGGCAGCTCCCGTGCGGAGACCCGCACGTCCACGGGGTGGGAGGCCCTGTCCCCCCGCTCAGACCGGCCGGCCGTGCCCCGCGCGCCCAGGTGCCCACGGCCACCTCCTCTCTCCGCAGAGGTGCAAGGACAAGCTCAACGCCCTGGCCATCTCCGTGATGAACCAGTGGCCCGGCGTGAAGCTGCGGGTGACCGAGGGCTGGGACGAGGACGGCCACCACTCGGAGGAGTCGCTGCACTACGAGGGCCGCGCCGTGGACATCACCACGTCGGACCGCGACCGCAGCAAGTACGGCATGCTGGCGCGCCTGGCCGTGGAGGCCGGCTTCGACTGGGTGTACTACGAGTCCAAGGCGCACGTCCACTGCTCGGTGAAAGCAGGTGAGGCGGCCGGACGCAGGGTGGTGTCCGCACCCGCACCCACGTGTTCCCCGTGTTCCCGCGGGGCCTGCCGAGGGGCCGCATCCTCAGCCCGTCTCGGGGGTCCCCAGCCCCGGGCGGCGCGCCCGTCTCTCCAACCCCCCCGAGGGTTCCCGGGTTTCAGGGCGACCGGCCGGCTCGGCCAGGTCTCTGGGGAGGGCCCGGCCGCCCCCCGCGTCCAGCGTCCAGCGTCTGCAGGCCGCGGGCGCGCACGCCGTGCCCGTGCGCGCAGCGCCACCTGCCGCCGCGGCGAGGAAGCGCGCGGCGCGGCGCGGCGCGGGCGCCCAGGGGCGCGTCTCGCGGCGCCGTTCGCGGGTGTCGCCGTGCGCGGCGGCTGTAGCAGCAGATGCCGGGACACCCCGCCCCGAAGTGGCGGGGCGGGCGAGGTGCGGGCGCGGGAGGCGGGCGCCGAGCCCCTCATTGGCATTCTGCGCACACGGGCCGGGGCGCCGGGCCCGGCGTGTCACGCGGGGTCGTGCGACTCGGCGACTCGGGCCGGGCAGCGGCCGGGCGCGCGCTCCATGCCCGAGAAGCCGATGAGAAGATTAAGCCCGGGGGTGCCCCGGGAGGAGCCTCTCGCGGGCTGTGTTTGCGCACGGCCTGATCCCGGGGCCTGGAATGCGGAGAACACTGGGCCGCCCGCCCCGCGCGGGGCATTGTCCTGCGGCCCGGGGCCCCGAGGGCCAGCGCGAGAAAGCGCGCAGCCGAGGGGCCTTGAGAACCCGGCGCTCCCCGCTCGGGACGGCGCGGGCCTCGCCATTTAAAATGCAAATACGCGTCTCGAGTGCCCGGAGCGGGGCTGTGCAAACAGTCCTGGGGGCCGGGGCCTCCGCGGGCCGAGGGCGCAGGGGCGGGGCCGCACCTGAGCAAATAGGGGGGGGGGGGGCGGCGCTGGAGAGCGAGGGGGAGGGCGGGCGGCCCGAGGTGGAAGTGTCCCCCCCTCTCCACGTCGGAGAAGCTGCGCCCGCTCCTCGCGGGCCGCGCCGGCCGTTCCCCCGCTGTCTGTCCAGTCGCTGCAAGGACAGCAGCGATTTGGCACCCCCCTCCCCCCCGGGTCCGGGGCTGGTCTGGCGAGGGGACCCCCGAGGGCGCCGGGAGAGCCGCGCCCGACGTCGGGGTGGGGTGGGGGGGCGGAGAAGCTGGGTGCGCCCGGCGCCCCGAGGAGCTCAAGGAGGCTTGGTGACGGCGCCAAGTGCAGGGCAAACACCCGCTGCATTCGCGGCCGGGGAGGGGGCCCGCAGGAAGTCGCCGCCCTCGCCGTCGGCCCCCGCCGGGTGCAGAGGGAGTCGCCCAGGAATGCGGCCGCCCGCGAGCCGGCCCGGGCGGGGTCCGAGCGTGCGCTCCGCGTTCGTCCCTGCGACGGGCGTCCTCTCGGGACACCCCACCGCACGCCACCCCGGCCCTGCGCCCGCGCGTCCTCTCGGGACACCGCACCCCACCCCGGCCCCTGGGGACCCCAGCGCGCCCCTGGTTCGGGCCTGCGCGTCCCCTGGAGACCCCGAGCACGCCCCTGAGCCTGGGGCCCTTGGCCCGCGCGTCCTCTGGGTACCCCCGGCCCGCCCCTGCGCCCCTGCCCTGCACCCGCGCGTCCCGCGGGGACCCCCAGCGCGCCCCTGAGTCCCCGGCCCTTGGCCCGCGCGTCCTCTGGGTACCCCCGGCCCGCCCCTGCGCCCCTGCCCTGCACCCGCGCGTCCCGCGGGGACCCCCAGCGCGCCCCTGAGTCCCCGGCCCTGCGCCCGCGCGTCCTCTGGGTACCCCCGGCCCGCCCCTGCGCCCCTGCTCTGCACCCGCGCGTCCCGCGGGGACCCCCAGCGCGCCCCAGAGTCCCCGGCCCTGCGCCCGCGCGTCCCCCGGGGACCCCCAGCGCGCCCCTGCGCCCTCGGCCTAGCGCCCGCGCGTCCCCCGGCGACCCCCAGCGGCCCCTGCGCCCTCGGCCCTGCGCCCGCGCGTCCCCCGGCGACCCCCAGCGGCCCCTGCGCCCTCGGCCCCGCGCCCGCGCGTCCCCCGGCGACCCCCAGCGCGGGGCCCGCGCGTCCCCTCGGCACTCACCGCCCGCCCTCTCTCTTCCCCCCTTCCGCCCGCAGAGAACTCGGTGGCGGCCAAGTCCGGCGGCTGCTTCCCCGGCTCGGCCACCGTGCGCCTGGAGCAGGGCGGCACCAAGCGCGTGAAGGACCTGCGGCCCGGGGACCGCGTGCTGGCGGCCGACGAGCAGGGCCGGCTGCTCTACAGCGACTTCCTCGCCTTCCTGGACCGCGACGACGGCGCCAGGAAGGTCTTCTACGTGATCGAGACGCGGGAGCCGCGCGAGCGCCTGCTGCTCACGGCCGCGCACCTGCTCTTCGTGGCGCCGCCCAACGCCACGGCCGCGGGGGGCGCCGTCGGGGGGCCGCGCCCGAGCGCCGCGCGCTCTTCGCCAGCCGCGTGCGGCCGGGCCAGCGCGTGTACGTGGTGGCCGAGCGCGGCGGGGCCCCGCGGCTGCTGCCGGCCGCCGTGCACCGCGTGTGGCTGCGCGAGGAGGCGGCGGGCGCGTACGCGCCGCTCACGGCGCAGGGCACCATCCTCATCGACCGGGTGCTGGCGTCGTGCTACGCCGTCATCGACGAGCACGGCTGGGCGCACCGCGCCTTCGCGCCCTTCCGCCTGGCGCACGCGCTGCTCCAGGCGCTGGCGCCCGCGCGCACGGACCGCGCCGCCGCGGGGGCCCCCGGCGTCCACTGGTACTCGCGGCTGCTCTACCGCCTGGGCACGTGGCTCTTGGACGGCGACGCGCTGCACCCCCTGGGCATGGCCGTGGCGCCCAGCTGAAGGCCCCGCGCGCGCGCGCACCGAGACTGGACGACGGGCGGGCGCGGGGCCGGGCGCGGCGACGGCCGGCGGGAGCCGCCCGCGAGGACGCGCGGCCCCAGCTCCCGCGCGGGGAGGAGTCGACACGTCTTTTTTTTGGCTGTTTTTTTGAAGTTTTCGGTTGTTGTTTTATTTTTGGTTGTTTTTTCACCTCTCCTGGCTATTTATTTGTTTGGTATGAATAGATGTTTTAAATAATATGAACAGGACCTTCAAAAGCCTTAACTAGTTTGTTTCTTGGATAATTTATTGCTACCACACGAACTGTGCTCCCGGGCGGGCGGGAGAGCCGTCCGCGAGGCCGGGCCACCTGCTCAGAGTCTATATTTTTCTACACACCCCTCGCCCGGGCTTCCAGAGAGCCGCGCGCCGCCCTCGGGGCTCCCCTCCAGGCCACGCGTGAACCCAGGCGAGCTCGGGGAGTCCGCAGATTCTATTTTTATACACAGAATTGTAAATTAGATTTTTTGAGAGTTCACTACGTAACTGAATGACATTTCATTTTTGAAATAGTGTAAGATATAAAGATATATTATTTTAATTTAACTAGTGTCTGCCACTGGTGAAGCCAGGCCCTGGACGGCTTCGTGGTGGCCCGTTCGCTCGGATCAGCCCCGCCACCTCCCAAGTCAGGACCATTGCACGCACACACACGCACACACGCACATACAAGGCACTCATGAACACATGTGCTTACATGCGAGTACATTTTTTTTTTTTGGACAGGCTGGAAGAACTGTTATTTTTAACTTCAAAGACTTTACTAGAAAATACTATTTTTTACGAAGCACACATAGTAATGAGCCCACACGGTCGGAGCCTGTAGTTTGTACAGAGAAAAACAAAGGCTGTTTTGCATTAATAAATCGAGAAATAACTGCTGTAAATTTACTAAAATGTATTTTTGACTATTTTGTAACAGTTTTATAGAAATAAAGTGTCGCGCAGACGTCAGTGTGTGGCGAGGCTGCCCGCTGGGCCTCGCGGCGGGGAACCTCCCTGGAGCTTGCGCAGACAGACGTGCTGATACTGTGAATCCCGAGGAGCCGCCCGCCGCCCCGCCCCCGCCCGCTGCTCTGGAGGGGCCGCGGACCCCGCGTGCCTGGGCTCAGTGCTCTGCAGGAAGGGGCCGACCTCTGGCCCTCCCGCCCTCGTCCCCCATAACCCGGCCCTGCTGCGGGTCGGGGCTTGGCCCCACTTCTGTCTCTGCCCTAGAGATGGCTCCGAGTCCACTCTGCCTGCTGGCCTCCGGACAGCCCTGCCTGCCGAGGGGCGCGCTGTGGTCCGCGTCCCCAGTGTGTGGTGGGCTGTGGACGTTGCTGGGTCCCGGACCTCTGCCGCCCAAAGTGTGGCAAAGTTCCATGTCACTGCAGCCGGCCCCGATGAAGGGGGCAGGATGGACCCAGGGCCTGGGTAGGTCGGCGGTGGTCTCCAGCGGAACCCAGGACCCGGGCCCAGATGGCAGGCGGACTGACCGGAGCAAGGGTCCGCCGTCGTGTGTGGGATGTGGCCCACGGCTTTGGATGCCCCAGGCAGGGCTCTGCTCCCGTGGCCGGCCCGTGGCACCCTGGTGAACAGGGTCCCACCCAGCAGCTCCGGGCGTGCCCACCCGCCCCCAGTCTTCTCCAGGCTGCTCGGACAGACGCTTCCCCAGGGTCCAGCCAGCTGCAGCTCCCACGACCGCGTGAGGAGAAGCTGGACGTGGCCTGGCCACCCCCACCACACAGCCCCTCGCCCCGATCGTCGGCGCACCCCTGCCCGAAATGTCTCAGAATGTACTTGACCCTCCTCTTGTGCTTCCTTGTTGGAATCAATAAAGTTGAGCCAGAGGCTCTGCATCCGTGTGTGTGCGCACGAGTGTGCCCCCGCATGTACACACATGACCATGTGAGCATGAGTGTCTGCGTGTGCGTGTGCGGGAGCATGCACTTGTGTGCACGTGCCTGACTGTGAATGTGTGCACGAGTATGTGTCTGTGTGTGCAGATGTGTGCCCGTGAGTGTGTGTGCACACACGAGTGCACCTGTGTAGGAGCGTGTGTGCCCGTGTGTGTGTGACTGTGCGTGCATGAGTGCCGGCGTGTGCACATGATCTTGTCTGCACGTGTGCATGTCCGTGTGCACGAGTGTGCGTGTGTGCACGTCGGCGTGCATCTGCATGTGTGTACATGTGCGCATTTGAGTGCATGCCGTGTGCCCGCTTGAGTGTGATGTGTGCCCACGAGGGCACATGTATGAGTGTTCCCTGAGTTTGTGTTTTTGCACGTGTGTGTTTGCACATGTGCTCACGTGTGTGTATGCACTGAGCCCCTGTCCTTGCTGCCCCAGGTCAGAGCCAAGACCCTGCTTGGGGTGACCCTGAAAGCCACCAGGACTCAGGGATTGTCCTTCCTGTCCCTCGCGGAGTTCTCACAGATGGAAGAGCGGCACCCGGGGGTGGGGGGAGGGTGCAGCAGGCCACTGAGACTGGGGGCCGAGCAGCACAGCAGAGGGAACCTGCTTCCGCAAGGGGAGGAGATCCTCAGGCCAGGGCGGCACGGCAGGGGGCCCATTGCTCTCTGGAACCCCCTGTGCTCTCTGAGCCCCAGTGAGCCCTGAGCTGCCCCTCAACCCCCCACGGCGAGGCTTGAGGACACGGAGCTGGTTCTGGTGCGGGCCTCCTGTCAGCCCCCGGATGCCCTGGCTGGACACAGGCAGCAGCGGGGAGTGCCCAGCGCACTGCCCTGAAGGGCAGAAGTGCCATCTCCCCCCACGAGGCCCCGGCTCCCCTCCCCAACAAACGAGGCTGCGGGCACCCCCCACGAAGGGGCCCAAGGAAGGGGCCTGCGGTGCCGGGCAGACCCACCTGGGACGTGTCCGGGCGCCCCTGGGCCCCCCTGGACACTGCCCCTGCTGGTGAACTCTCCCCGTCCCTCGGGAGGGGGAGTGGCTGCGTGCAGGGGGCCAGGGGAGGGGAGGGGAGGGGAGGGGGCCGGGCGCTGTGTGCGGCTCTGTGTGGCTTGCGCGCCGCCTGCTGGCCGCGGGGAGACAGTGCAGGCTGCTCGCAGGCCGCAGCCGTCCGGAGTGGCCACTGGCCGCCCTCCAGCGGGGGAGCCGGGCATAGGCCAGCAACACCAGGGGGGGCGCCAGGCCTGGCCGCCTGCTCTAGACGGCTTTTCTCTGGGACAGCAAGGACAAGGGGAGAAAGGGAAGAGCAGGGAACAGGACAGAGCCTGGCTGGGAGGGACAGCGGCCCCGAGGATGCGCCTGTTGAGTGGTGGGTCCCGAGGGCCCGGCCCCGACCACATTCCTGCCCCCAGCACCCCTCGGGACAGGACCCCGTGGCCACTGCCTCCGGAGCCTTGGGGGGGACGGGGACCACCCTGTCTCTGAAGGAAGCAGTAGCCGCCGGCAGCCTGACCCTCGCCTGCACGTCAGTTCACGTCACCTCCCTGGGTTCCCGGCACGCCCTGTCACCTGTGTCACCTGCCTCCCTGTCACCACGCATGTCCCGTCTGCCTCCAGGAAGCCTGCTGTGCCGCGCCGAGCCTCTGGCAAGCTGTCAGCCCCCGCGCCCCTGTCTCCTGCCTTCCGGGCTGGGGGCCACTTTCAAAGTCCCCTCATGCAGCTGCCCTGGCCTGGGACAGAGGGGGGTGGGCGTCCCCCAGGTCCAGGCACTGATGCCGTCCGGGATGGCCAGTGCCCCCCCCCCCCTACAGGGAAGGGTCCTGACTTGCCAGGGCCTCGAGGTGGGCGGCACCCTCAGGAGACGGTAAGGGCAGCTCTCCCCCTGGGACACCCGGGGCCGCACAGCCGGCTGACAGGCGGGCGAAGGGTCTGGGGTTGGGGGCAGTCGGCCCGGCCGTGAGCGGGACTGGAGCCAGATGGGGCATCAAGGCCCGCGACCAGGGGACAGCCTCCTGGTGCCCCCGTGCCCAGCTCCCCTCCAGGCCCCACAGGCCAGGCAGTGACAGCGCTGTGTGCCAAGGAGGAGGGTGGGGGCCAGGCTGAGTCCAACCTGCTCCAGGTGGGTGAGAGCAGATCCCACGCGACGACAGGCACGGAATCCATCCGAGTGGCCCTTCTACGCACTCGGAGCCAGGCCACGGCCCACCTCACTGGCATGTGCGACCAGGCGGGCTGTTTCGATTAGAATCCTCGCGGGCCGTGACCAATCAGGCAGCAACGACCAAGAGTGGGCGCATCCCTTGATGTCTTGGTTTGGAAAAGACTTCCAGCCCTCACGTGTGGGACCGACCCACTGTCCACCAAGCCACAAGAACCCCGAGCAGATCACAACCTGCTGTGACAAAGTGTGGCCATGCGTGAGCGTGCCAACCACGTGCGTGGTACGGGTGTGAACATGTCAAGAACATGTGTGTGGTCCTATGTCGCCACCAGTGCCCGAATGCCAAGTTGGTGAGTCCAGGAGGGGAGCAGGCAGGGACATGAGCACGAGTGCGAGGGGAGCGGACGGGGCACAAGCACAGGTGCAGGGCTGTGCTGTTGCACGTGCACACACATGCGTGTCTGCGCATGGGGGGGTGCAGGTTCTGGTCCTGCACGGATGTGCCCCGCGTACCCTGTACCGTGTCAGGCAGACGGTGATTTGACGGGGTGTGGGCAGAGGCCAGTTGTAAGCAGATGGGGGAGGGGCGGAGTCGTCGAGGGTCTGGGCAGTGAGTACGCCAACACCACCCAGGGGTCCTCCCCCGCACCACTGTGACGGTGCCGGAGCAGCGTGTGGGGAGGATGGGTCCAGCTGGTCCTTCCCGGCCGCACCACGCACTCACTCTCAGAAGCTGCCAGCCCAGCCCCCACAGCCCAGCCCCTCTGCCCCTCACCCCTGCCGGCCCACCCGCTCACTGCCCCTCTCCCCTGGCAGCCCCAGCCCACCTGCTCTGCTCCTTAGCCCTGCTGGCCCCTGACCACCTTCCACCCCTCACCTCTGCCAGCCCTGACTCACCCTTGCTGGTCCCAGTCCATCCACTGCTCCTCACCCCCTGCCAGCCCCAGCTCAGCCCCTCTGCCCCCTCACCTGTGCCACCACAGGTCCCAGATGAGTTCTGGATGGGGCAGCAGCGGGTCACGGGCAGGTGGGTGGAGGCAGCACCCCCCCCCCCACACACAGGGTCCAGCTCTTCCTGCGGACAGCACATGGCTGACGAGACACCCCAGGGCCCTGAGCACAAGGCCAGGAGTTAGCCTGGAACCCCCAGGCAGCTGGAGGCGGCAGATGGGGGGAGCGTGCGCCTGGGTCCCCGCAGGGCCTCATGTGGCCGTGCCCCGGGCTGGACGGGCCCCAGGCCATCAGGGCCGAGAGGTTCTGTCCCTGGGGGAGGGGCGAGGGCGGCGTGAGACAAGGAGAGGCCAGAGCCAGAGCGAACGTCGCTTTATTGACACACGTCTGTGGTTACAGTACAATGAACATGGCGGCACGTGCAAGTGCTCCAGAGACACACACATGGCGAGCGGGCGGGCCCAACACAAGGGCCAGCCGGGGGCCCCGTGCGCGAGGGGAGGTCGAGGCCGCTCGCTACACAGCTTCTCTCCGGGGCGGCCCGTGGCACAACTAGGGCGGGCGGCTCCCAGCACTCGGGGGAGACTACCTCTACCTGAGCTCATGCAAAGGTCCTGCAAAGTAGAGGGACAGAGAGGGACGTTAGTGCCGCCCCCCCACCCCGCCACGGCACCTCGGCGTCCCCTGCGAATCGAAAGCCGGTTACTCCCGCCCCCACCTGCGGGAGGAAGCGAGTCCGCCACCTGCGGGAGCAAAGGGGTGAGGGGCGCAGAGGGCGAGGGCCGCTCCGAGGCTGCACCTGGAAACCAAAGGGGCGGGGCCCGGGGCGAGCGGCTCCCGACAGCCGAGGACCCTGCGCTGTGGAGGCAAAGCCGGGGAGGGAGAAGCAGGTGGCGCGTGAGGCAGCGCCGCCGTCGTCCACGCCGCGGTCCGGACCTGAAAGTGCCGAGAAGCCCCGAGCCCCCCGCCCGGGCCTCGGGCACCTGGAAGCGAGTGCAGCAAGCGAGCCAAGCCCCGCGAGAGCCCACCCTGGCTGCCCGGAGGCCGGCTCTGCCAGCAGCGCCACGGGCGCCTACCTGGGATCCAATATGGATCGGGAGTTGGGGCCAGGCCCGCAGGCCTGGCGGCCCGTGCCCGGAGCACGGGGACAGGTGCACAGCACCTCACGCAGAATCCTTAGGATTCAGAGCCCGGAGGACACACGCGGTCGGTTCCGGGAGACCGTCTCCGCCTGCCCTCCGGACAGGACACGGCGGGGCCCCAGGCCCGCCCGGCAGCCACTGGCTGCCACATGGCCCGCAGACACAGGCTAGGGGGGTGGGGGCGCAGCACGCTTACCTTCCTGAGCAAACCACTGACCCACACAAACAACACCGGGAGCGAGGGGTCCCCGGCCCGCTCTGTCCTCCTACCAGAGCCCAGCAGGGCTGCCCAGACCACGGTGCCCACAGGCCTCTCCCTCTCCGTCCGCCGGCCCTGAGGAGTCAGTGTTAGAAGAAAGTGGGTTATTGACACGGGCGCCCCCCGCCCCCCAGCAACAGACTCCGGTCAGCAGAAGAAGCAGCAGCTGCGAGTCCCGTGCAGGCCGACGCCGTCTCTCCTGGAACGCTGCGGAACCAGGACATTTACAGATCGTGGGCAGCCCCCCCCCCTCCCCCAGGCCCGGGACCTCCTGGGGGCGCCCCTGCTCATCACAGGGGCTGCGCCTTTCCCTTCCGGGTCATCAGTCCGAGTTTCACAGGCGGGCAGACCAGGGTCCCAGGACGCCCCGAGGCAGCTAGGGAGCTTACATTACAGCACAAAATCAAAACAAAATCGGAAAGAAAACAGAACCTGGCGCCACACACGCACGCTCGTGGTTACCTCGCGGCTAGAGCGGGTCACTGGCTCGGGCTGCTGGTTCGTGAGCAAAAAATACACGGGGCAGGGCGAACGTATGACTTACTAGCATCTTTATAAAAATCGATGTACACGCACACACACACGCCAACAATTAGGAACTGGATCCCTTCCACTTCGGCAAGACAACACAAGAGAACTAACATACCTAGGGTGCTGCTGACTGGGAAGCGTGTTCAAGAACGTTTTAATTTTAAAAGGTCCATATTTACACGGATGGTGTCTCTGCATCTCGCTCCAATGCATGATAGAGAAAGAACAAAGATAATGGTTGCAGCGGATCTTCCGGAGGCTGGGCTCGGTGCCCTGACTCCCGCGGGCGCAGCGGCCGCGCCCCACCCCAGCCTGTCGCACTGGCCAGCGCCCCTCCGAGCACCGCGCCCGGGGCACTCGCTACCCGGGAAGAAGCTGCTCGCACGCCCGCAGGCCCAGGTGGACCCCAGAGGGGGCCAGCGCCGCTACGCCGGCTCCCCGAGCGAGCTCTCCCGCTCCTACCTTCTCCTCCCGGGACGGGACCACCCGTCAGGAGCCCTGGACTGCAACGGATGCCGGGGGCAGCCACACTGAGGCGCCAGCGTTCGGGCCGCCCCCTCGCCCCCACGGTCCACAGGCTGGCTGGGCCTTCTGGACGACAGGGCTGAGCACCTGGGCTGAGGGAGGAGGGGAGTCCGGCAGACTCCCCCCGGTCCTGTCTGGAAGGGCACACGGCGTCCGGCTCCCACGTTCACCCCTGACCACCCACGTCCCCTCGCTGCTGGCCCCAGCTGGATGCCCGGGTCGGGTCTCCATCGGGTCTCCAGAGTGTCTAGAGTATCGGGGAGGCCCTGGGCCGCTGCTGGAACCCCGGAAGCGCCTGTCCCCACTGCTCTGCCTGGGCCTGCTCCCCCCCGGACCCCAAGCTAACCCGCCGAGGGACCCCAGCCCTGCTCCAAAAGGAAGTCGGAGAAGGACGCCGCCCGCGGGAGGCGCATGCTGCAAGGGGGACCCCCCGCTCCCGCCCGCCCCGGGGCCTCGGGCAGTCAGGGCAGGTGAGGGCGTGAGAAAGTCTCACTGCCTGCGCGGAAGGTGAGTGCAACCATTATCAAGTGTTCTTTCTGCGAGCGGCCGTGCGCTGCCGCTGTCCCTGCTCTGGGCACTGCTCAGTGGCGCGGGGAGGGACCCGAGGACACTGTCCACATGCGGGAGGACGTGGGACAGGAAACAGAAGCCCGAGTTCTCTGCGGCGCCCACACACTCAGAAGCTAGCCGACCCCACGCCAGGCCGCGCGTCCCGCAAGTTCCGTCTCCTGAGTCCAGGCCAGGCCAGGCCGGCTGCGGCGGGCAACGGGCCCGCGGGCCTCGAGAGGCGCGGGGCTGCGCTCGGGGGCCTCCGTCTGCGTCGCAGGGCAGCGCCGGGTCGGCCTCTGGGAAGCGGTCACTCCACGATCAGGGCCACGTTGATGTGGGACAGATCGATCATGTGCCTGCGGGGCGGGCGGGACAGGGTGAGGGGGTGAGGGCCTGCGGGGCCGCGGGGCGGCGCGGCGGCTCCCGCGGGCGCCCGGTACCTGTGGAACTTCTGCTGGAAGGCGAGCGCGTGGGCCGGCTCCTTGAACGTGGCGATGGCCTTCCGCTGCTGCGGCAGCATCTGCAGGCTCTGCGGGGAGAGGCGCTCAGTCCCGCCCCTGCCGTTCCGCCGCTGCCCCACGAGGCTCCCGCCCGCCGGGCTGCCCTGCCCCACCCGTGTCCGCCCGGCGCCCAAGACCCAGAGACGGCCCCGGGGCGTGCGGAGGCCTCGCGCCCAAGCACGCACCCACCTGGATGGGCCCCACGGACACCAGCAGGCTCCGGAGCTGCACGTCCGTGGTGGACAGGGACAGCCCCTCCACGGAGACCACGCACGACTGCGGCTTGCACTCGACCACCCGCAGGTTCTGCTTGTTGGGCATGAGGCGGCCCCGGCCCAGGCTGCCGGCCACGCCGCGGCCTCGTCCGTGCAGGACCACCTGCAACCACAGACACTCAGTGCCCGGCGCCAGAGGGCGGGCAGGGAGGGTGCCCAGGGCAGCAGGTCAGAGCCGCCTCCTGCATGGCCAGGCCCAGCCCCGCGCGCACGGGGATGGTGCAGGGAGGAGCAGAGGGAGGAGGGAGAAGGGGGCAGGGGGAGGAATGGGGGGGGGGGGTGGCCACAGGCTCTGCTCCCACAGCAGCCGTGCAGGGGTGCCAGGTGGGCAGTACCTTCTTGGCCGGGTGGATGCCCTGGATACTCCTGATGCCTGGGGGCCCGGCAGGGTGCATGTGCGCGCCCACGGGCGGGTGGGGCGGCGGCTGGAGCACCCCCTTGGTCAGCGTCACCTTGCGGGCCGGTGGGGGGAGCCGCTGGGGCGCGGCCTCGGTGTGGAAGAAGCCGTCGCTCTCGCCGCCCTGCTGGGAGACAGGAGAGGCCTCAGGCTGGGTGGGCTCAGAGCCCCTGGCCCCGAGGAAGGGGCGCCACTCCCCCCGCAGCCTCAGGAAGTGGGGTGGACGGGGCACGCGCGCTCCCTCATGCCCCCCTCAGGTGCCCTGACCCCCACCCCAGTGGGTGGTCCCCACAGGAAAGGACACGCTGGAGCTCAGGGGTGTGGACAGACCAAGGCTCCGGAGACCAGCAGCCCCAGACGGGCCCACGAGGGCCCAGTTCCACACGGCCCGCCGGGCCTGCTGTGAGCGGCCGCTGACCGCCAGGGCCCCAACACCCACCAGACATTCTGGCCCGAGAGAAAGGAACAGAAGGCGGGTGGGCGGGACGGCGCGGCGCGTGGGGGGCGAGTCCAGGACAGCGGCAGGGACAGGGCGCAGTTCGGCAGGAGAGGGGACGTCACAGAGGGCCCCAGGGAAGCCCGGGTGGATCTGGCCACCACAGGGACCAGGCACGGACCCGGGAGGAGCACTGCCATCGGGAGGCCCGGAACGGAGCACTAAGGAGCGAGCCAGTCCCTCCGCTCCACGTGGCCACCCTCCCCGCACAGCGCCCCTTCACTCCTTTCCTCACCACCAGGGCGGAGGGTGACGCCTCATCTCCCTCGGCCCACACACAGGCGATCTCCGAGGGAGACCCGCGGGCCGGAGGCGCAGGGCCCACAGACACCCGCGGGCACGACAGATGCTGGGACCTATTCCTATTTGTGCAGATGACACGGATCTGCATTTACACGGACAGCAGTGCCTTCAGGAACTATTTTCTCAGCCTGATCACTACAAAAGGAGGCCCACAGGCACCGACAGGCAGGACAAACTCATTTCTATGTGTTTGTTGCATGTATTTATGTGAACGGCTCTGCCTGGATCCAGCCAAGGGAATATCATCAGCTTAATCATTACAAAAAGGAGGCGTCCAGGCACCAACAGGCAGGACAAATTCATTTATAACAAATGGTTTAAATATATAGATAAAAATGCCCATTGATACTGCCGAGGCGTCCTGCATTCTGACAGATCAAATCTTATTTCCATTCTGAAAGCCCGCGAAGGAGTGGTATCACTGACGTGCATTCACTAGTGAGCGAATTGATTAATCCCTCCCTATAGAAATCTCAACTCTTGATTAGACCTATCAGACGCTAAGCGGCATTATTCTGGAGTGACAACACTTGACAAATTCCCAAACCATTTTTCGCAGCCTTTGTGGCCCTGCTAGCTTGTATTAACCCTGATGAAAAATTAATTTTCCTTATCTCCGTCTAAACCCCAAAATCCAAATCCGCCAAACTGGCAACTCTCTCTGCAAAGGTATTATGAAGCCCTCGGAAAGATTAATTGCGTGTCTTCAGGTGACATCAAATTAATTTCTGGGCTCGTGACAGACATCTGATGCTCGGAGCCGCGGACAGATAACATTGTCAGGCGCCCAGAGGACAGCGTGGGGTCCGGGGGCAGGCTCGGGCCCCCTCCCCGTAACTGCACACACAGGAGCCTCGGAACCTGGGCTGCAGAGCCGGGCACCAGGCCGGCTCCTGCTGGGGCCCTGCCCCTCCTCCAGCCTGGACAGACGCCCACCAGCACTGGGCACAGCGCACCGGCCCCGGCCGAGCTGAGGCCCACAGCAGACAGAACCAGCCAGCTCGGGCGGGTCAGACACCTCTCAAACACGCCGGCAGCCTGAGGAGCGGCTTCCTCCTCCCCGGAAGGAAAGAAGCCCCGCGGAGCTGCCGCCTGCTCGGCTCATCCTGGCCACCACCTGGGCGGGAGGGGACACGGGGTCGCTTCAGCGGGCACCCAGACGGTGCGGCAGGGGAGGGCCGAGGCGCCCCACGTCCACCAGAGAACACACAGCATCTGCCCTGGGCTGGAGGCTCCGAGAGTCTGAAGTGGGCGCCTCTTTGGGTTCTGGAACTAGATCCTTCCACGGAGCCGAGGGCCTGGAGGGCCAGACGGTGAGCTCAGAGGGCTCTGGCCTTGCACCCGGCCGACTGGGCTCAATCCCCGGCATCCCAGAGCCAGACGATGCCTCAAAAACTAAGCCAGGGGCCAGAGCGACGGGACAGGGGGAAAGCGCTGGTCTGCCTGGCACACGGCTGCCCCGCGTTCAATCCCCAGACCCCACATGGTTCCCCAAGCATCACCAGGAGTGATCCCTGAGTACGGCCAGGTGTGATCCAAAACGGAAAGCACTCCCCCCACCACACACACACACACACACACACACACACACACACACACACACACACAGAACCGCTTTCTGAGAAACGAGCAAGCAAGGCTTTCTCCATACTTCACCTCGAAAAGGAAGTATCACCACATAGGGCACCTCACTGAATAGTATGCAGGAAGGCAAATGGGATTCCAGAAATGTCTGCCCACACCCAATAGCCTGAAGCGGCTTCTTCGTTATTTTACCCAACAAACCTGGACAATAAAACTGTGGGGTGGGAGGGGGGGAACCAACCTCATTCACAGGTTTGAGAAGTCCGAATGCAAAAGATCCCTCTCGACTGCACCCGCCCCAGAGACGGTGGAGCCAGAACTGTTTTGGGGGGCTGGGGGCTGGAGGGGAACGGCAGCCAGCAGGTGCCCGGGAGCCTGTGGGGTGGGGGCGCGCACCTCCTGGCCGGCCCTGTGCCATGGGGGGCTGTCCAGAGGCACGGCAAGTGCGCCCGCCGCCCGCCCCCAGGAGACTCCGGCTCGTCCACCTCTCAGCACAACAGCCCCGCACTCAGCACGAAAAGCCGGGCGGGCCTCCCACGCCAGGGCCCACGTGCGAAGGGAACAGCTGCCGGGGACAGCCTTGGGAGCCCTCCTGCCTGCACGCCCACTGATGATTACACGCCAGAATGCAGAGTCAGATCCCGGTCGGGGGGACCCAGAAGACCAGGGGACGGGGCAGCTCAGGCCGCAGCCAGAGGGCAGGCGAGAAGGGAGATGCGGGTGGAGGGCGCCGTGGGGCCCCAAAGCAAAACAGGACACGAACAAAAACCTCCAGCCCCGCGCAACTTCTGGCTCTGTCTTCCCGACAGGACTGCCTTGGCGCTCCGCCTGCAAGGGACAGAGGGACAGAGGGGCGAAGGAGCCCAATGGCAGCGGCCTCTCGGAATGGACAGAAACTCCCCACAACTTCACGGGATGACGGGAAGCGTCAGCTCCTTCCAAGGCCCATTTCCACGCCAGCCCTGCTGGGACGCCCAGGGCACCTGCTCTGCTCCGGACGCCACGCCAGGACTGAGCGCCACCGCCCTCTCTCCCCAGGACAGCCCGCGCCACCCGCAGCTCGCTGACCGTCTAGAGACCCGGGGTGGGGGGATGGGCCCCCCAGGCTCTGCTGGACCAGTGTTTGTAGCCACCCACCATGCCCAGCGGGCGTGGAGCACCAGCAGGTCACCCTGTCCCAGTGGGGCGAGGGCATCAGCAGCCTGACGCTGCCTTCAGCCTTCCTAGTACCCCAAATGCACCCCTGTGCCTCTGGCCAGACCCCAACAGCTCAGGATCAAGTTTCCCAAGAAATTAAATGGCCAAAAGTGAGGTATGTGCGAGTCACGCCCACACACCACCTCCGGCTCAGCTACACAAGCTCATTCACCAGCCTTGCTTCAGAGACCCACAAACAAATCTCGAAAGAGATCAAGAACCGTAGTTAATCTCAGACCCATGCAAGGCTGAACAGGCGGGGGAAATCAGAGGGGGGTCGAGTGAGCCTGGGGCCCGCCCAACGGAGTGCCCAGCGCCATCCACTCCCACAATCCAAAACCGCCACCATGCCCCTGGCCAGACTCCACCACCTTGTGACAGACCTCATCGGGACAAGAACCTGCTGAGAATTTGGGTATGCGGGCTTTGTGACTGAAACCTCGAGCCTTTCTCCGGGTCATGATGGGCTACCTCCCCCCACTTCCCTACCCTACCGGAAGCGCTGGCAGTCACCCCCACAAACCAACTCCAGCGCCACCACATAAGCTCTCCCAACTACTGGCCTCTCCTCTTCAGCGACCCGTAAGTCAATCTCAAAAGAGATCAAAACCCACAGTTCATCTTGGACCCGCACAAAGCTGAACAGACTGGGGTAAACTGAAGGATGGCGGATCAGCCTGGTGACCGCCCAAGCAGAGCCCCTGGCAGCCACTTGCTTCCACAACCCAAAATTGCTGCCCTGCCCCCGGCTAGACTCTCTAGTCTTGGGACAAACCTCACCGAGATTATCAATCTGCTGAATATTTGGGTATGCAGGTTTTGCGACTGAAATCTCCAGACTTTCTTGGGGTCGGGATGGGCTACCGCCCCCCACCTCCCTGTACTTCCAGAAGCCCAGGCAGCCACGTCCACACCCCAAAGCTGCCACCCAGTTTCACCAAAAAGATAAAACGGCTACTACCATCCCGATAAAAATACTGAACGCCCTACAAATACAGTGACCTCTTGGTATTGCAAACCATAATGCAGAGAAGGAGAAAAGGAAGATGGTGCCTGCCGGGGGGTGGGGGGGAGAGGAAGGGAGGGACCATTTGCCCCGTGCCACGCCACCCTGCCACCGCAGCCCGCGGTCCTGGAACACACACCAGGGCCAGCGTGAGCCGCCAGAACAGACGCCGGCACCCCATGAAGTGGGCAGAGGTGCTGAGCACCTCAGACTTGGCCAGGTGCCCAGCGGGCCCAAGTGGCTCCTGCGCCCGGCACCGGCAGCTTCTCTGTGGCTCCCGAGGTTGCCCCAGTGCCCGTCTTCCTCGGGCAGCTGCCTGGAGACTGGCTTCTCTGCCTCCCCAGGGGTCCGCCCACCCTGCCGCCCCACCCTGCAGCTCTGAGGGCTCCTGCTCTTGCAGTGCAGGTGCCAGGCGGAAGCGGAGGCGGAGACCGGCCCTGGGGTAGTGCTGTGCTCTCAGCAGGCACCGGCCCACCCTCAGCCGTCACCTGCCCTCGTGGGAGAAGGCGTGCCGGACCAGAGGGGCGCTTGGCGCTCGTGCAGGTTTTCTACAACGTCCCCCCCAGCGCTAGCAGGGCCGAGTTCGGGCAAGCGCCCGGCTTTCTGGTAAGGCGAGGGAGAGCGGGGACAGCAGCCAACACGCTCGGCTCCCACTACACCACCCGTGCCGGCCGCCAGGGCCCCCGGTAGGCGGACCCCGGGCACCGGCACACGGGGACACGAGCCCGGGGCGACTTACCCCTCCGGACAGCTTGATGACCCTGACTTTGGAGCCGACGTGCGGCCCGTCCCCACCGCCACTGTTGGCCCGGTGCATGACAGTCCTCTTGGTGCCGAGCTTGCTGTCTGGGGGCCGGCCCGCCAAGCGCGGGGCCTGCGTGGGGGGCGGGCCCTCCCCCTCGGCGGGCTTGGCCGGAGGGACCCTGTGCTGGGCCGGACTCAGTGGGGGGGCCCGGGCGGGCCGCACGTGCTTGAGCGGCTTCGCCGGCTGTCCCTGCAGCGGTGAGGGAGCCCCGGGCGGCCCGGAGGGCGCGGGTCTGGGCGCGGCGCCGGGGCCCTCGGGGGCCTTCGCCAGGAGTCTGTTCTTCACGTTTGGCCTGACCGGGGCGCCGGGGAAGGGCAGGAGGGGGTTGCCGTTGGGCGGGGACGGCGCTGCGGCCGCCGCTGGCTCCTCCTGCTCCGTGGGTGCGGGGGCGGGGCCCGGCGGCGGCGGCGGCTGCTGCTGCTGCTGCTGCTGCTGCTGCTGCTGCTGCTGCGCCAGGCGCTCGAGCAGCTCCTTCTTGCGGGCGCCCGCCTGCTGCTGCCGCCGCAGCTCCTTCTGCTTCAGGATCTCCTCACGCAGGCGCTTCTGCTCCTCGATCTTCAGGCGGTACAGCCGCGTCTCCTCATCCTCCTCTGGAAACTGGGGCAAGAAGAGCACAGGTCAGCCGAGCGCAAGGCCGGCAGACCCTCCCCTGCCCAGCGGCTCCGTCCCCGCGCGGGAGGCCTGGCCGGAGCAGCACAAGCGAGGCCTGTCAGTCGCCGCTCACTCCCCGCCGCAGCCGGTTCCAAGGGCACAGGGAAGGCCGCGCCCACAGGGCTTCCTCTGATGGACCGACAAAAGGTGCGGCGATGACCTGAAAGCGCCTGATTAGAACTATTGATTTTTCGTACAGAATTTTCAGCCTGATCTCAAACTCATTTATCACGGAATAATTGGCTCTAACGAACGCCCGAGCCAATCCCTGTGACCTTGAACTCAGCCCTCCCCTTGGACCGCAGAGGCCCCAGGGCAACACTGGAATAGTAATGGTGCGGAAGACAGGGCTGAGGCAGGCCCTCCGAGCATCCGGAAAACCTTGGTGCAAGCCCAGCGCCTCCAAGAGCACCGCCTGGAGCACCACCCAAAGTGCTCCATCACGAGCGGGTAGCGCCTCACCCAGGGCTGGTCCTAGGGGCGGCTCAGAGCCACAGTACAGCAGGGAGGGCATCCGCCCGGCACAGAGCTGACCGGTCTGGTCGCTGGAACCACATATGGTGTCCAACCCCATCAGGCGTGATCCCGGAGTACAAAACCAGAAGCTTGGAGCACCGCCGGGTGGCGCCAAAACAAAACCGAACATACAAAAAGTGGCCAATGGGCAAGCATCAGGCACCATGTGGACAGACAGCATGAGCCGCCCCCCGCCCCCCAGTGGTCCTGGTGGCACAGCAGGGTTGGCGCCCGGTCACTGTGCCTGGGTCAGGTGTGGGCAGTTAGGCCCCTGGCGTCCCAGGTCCGCGACTGCAGCAGCCCTCTGGCCGCTCTGTCACCGAGCGGTGACGCCTCGAGCAACGGAAGCAACGAGTCCCAGCGGGTCAGAATAGTGACGTGGACACGGCTGGAGGCCAGGGGACAGTGACAAACGGCGCTGTTCCCGGCTCCCAGGGCAGTGACAGCCTGAAGGTGTGACACCACTCATCAAAGAGCTGAAGCAGGTGCCCAGGGCTGAGTCCTCTGCCGCGCTCTCCACCAGCGGGCCTGACAACACAGTCCACGCTGACCCGAGCAGAGCAAACCTGGTCTGAATCCTAGGGCCCCACGACCCCCTGTCCAGCACACACACCACCAGAGGCAACGCCCCTCACTCCTGCCTTCTGTGGACAGGGGCCAACGGTGGCCTCAGCCCTCACACGCGGGGCCTCCGGGCTTTCACAGAACATGCCTCCCTCGGGCAAGGTGGGGTAGGTGTTTTGGCCACCATCACGGACAGAACATGCCCCCCGCTGACGGACAGACAGACCCAGAGCCAGCTGGTGTCTGTGATTTGGAGAGCAGGACAGGCTACTCTGGCATGAGGGTCTCTCTGGGCCCGAGCGCAGTCCTCGCAGGCACAAGGGCCTGGGCTGGGTTGCCCGCACGGTACCCCCACATCTGCGAACCCCCTCACTGGCCCCTCGGCACGGATGGCGCGCTCCTTCCCCAGGGACAGAGCCTCTGACCATGCCAGGGTGCTCCCCAGGAGGAGCACGGGGGACAGAGTGAGAGCTCGGTAGTTCAGCCCCATGCCCGCATCACACAACGGCAACTGGCAGGACAGTCTGCGGCTGGAGCAGCAACACAGCAGGAGCCGTTTGCCTTGCACGTGGCAGACCTGGTTCTGGTCCCCTGAGCACCAGCAAGAGTCACAAGTGGCGCCTGGGCATCGCCGTGCGGCCCAGAACAAAACCCAAACCCAACCCTAAAATTCGTCGATTCGTCGATTGCCTCGAGCAGGCCCCAGTAACGTCTCCTTCATCCTAGCCCTGAGATTATATTCACGGCTCTTTAGGAGAATGAGACCCATCATTGTTACTGGTATTTGGCATATTGGGTACGCCACGGGGAGTTTGCCAGACTCTGCCCTGTGGGCAGGCTACATTCGATAGCCTGCAAGTTTGTCCTAAAATAACGTAAAAAAAAACCAAAAAAACCCGAGCACTGTTCTGTTCCTAGAATTCTGTGAGCAACCTCGAGCTAGAGCAAAAGGAACAAGCCCCAGTCCACCTCAATCTCTGAACAGCGGCCACGGGGCCACACCTAACAGCTCCGGGTGAGGTGGGGCGGCTAAGGTGAGAGTGGGCTGTGGGCACCCTGCAGCGCCGGTGCAGGTCGAGCGGACAGTGTCGTAAAGATGAGCCACCGAAGTGGATCCACGTAGCCCGAAGGGAGCTAAGCAGACACCACAGGCCGCCCTGGCTGACCTCGATTCTGGAGGAATGAGGACAGCGCCAAAGGCCTGGAGTAAGAACCGTCTCGTGGCTAAGCTGAGAGAGGAGCAGGGTCGGCTGGCCCTGTGGAGACTGTCTGGGCTCTCAGTGACTGACCCTGTGGAGAGACTGACTGGGCTCTAACTCAGTGACCTGTGGTGAGACTGTCTGGGCTCTCACTGACTTATCCCATGGGCAGTCAACTCACTGGGCTCTCGCTGACCCGGTAGGGAAACTGTCTGGGCTCTCAATGACCTGTGAGGAAACTATCCGGTCTCTCACTGACTGACTCTCTCGGGAGACTGACTGGGCTCTCAAAAGAGCTATGAGGAGAGTATCGAGGCTCTCAGTGACTGACTCTCTCAGTAGCCTGTCTGGGCTCTCAATTACCCTGTGAGGAGACTGGGCTCTCACTGGCTGACTCTGATGGGAGACTATCTGGAATTTCACTCGCTGACCTTGTGGGCAGAATCTCTGGGCTCAGACTCACTAACCCCGTGGGGAAACTGGGCTCTGACTGACTGACCCTGTGGGGAGACTGGGCTCCAACTCATCCTGTAGGGAGTTTGTCTGGGCTCTCACCGACTCTGCGGAGAGGCTGTCTGGGCTCACTCACTGGGGAGAAACTGTCTGGGATCTCACTGACTCTATGGAGAGACTGTCTGGGCTCTCACTGAACTTGTGAGGAGACTGGGTTCTCACTGACTGACCCTGTGAGGAGACTGGGCTCTCACTGATTAACCCTGTGGGAAGACACTATGGGGTCTCACTGACCCTGCGGGGAGACTGTCTAGTCTTACTGACCATGTGAGGAGACTGAGCTCTCACTAACATTGTGCAGAAGACTGCCTGGGCTCGCGCTGACTGACTCTGGAGAGACCGTCTGGGCTCTCACTGACTGACTCTGTGGGGAAACTGCCTGGGTTCTCACTGACTGACTCTGGGGAGACTGCCTGGGCTCTCACTGACTCTGTGGGGAGACTGTGGGCTCTCACTGACTGACTGTGGGGAGACTGTGGTCTTCAATAACTGACTCCGTGGGGAGACAGTCTGGGTTCTCACTCACTGACTCTGTGGGGAGACTGTCCGGGCTCTCTTAGATCCTGTGGGGAGACTGGGTTCTCACTGACCCTTGTGGGGTGGACTCTGGGCACTCAGACCCTACTCAGGGTTTTTTGGGGCTCTCATTTGCCCTTGCGGAGGAACTGTCTGGGCTCTCGCGGGCACCCCCAGAGCACCGTGGGAAGCGGCTGCTCAGAGCACTGCAGAGCCACAGCCGCAGGAAATGCCGTGGCTGCCCCGAGTCGCCTCGTACCTCCAGTTCTGCCTTTGCTTCTCCCTTCGACTGCGCCCCAGGGCTCGCCGGCTGGCTCCTCGCGTCGGCCTTCCCCTGGGTGCTTCTGGTCCCCACCGCTGGCCTCGTGGGCGGGGACGTGCCAGCAGCAGCCTTCCCTGGGGCGGCGGAGGCGGCCGAGCAGCGGCTGGCGGTCATCTCCAGGACGTGCGACGGGGCGATGGGCAGCTCGCGGAGGTTGCTGTTGCGGGGCGCGGTGGGCGGCATCTGCTGCAGGGGCCGTTTGCTCAGGTTCTGGGCCGTGGAGTTCTGCCACGAGCGGGAAGAACAAGCTGGTCACGACCAGAACCGCGTCGCGACCAAGAGGCTCTTCAGGGGCAGGGGACCGACTCCAGGAAGCCGGCGCTCAGACCAGGGCTGCATTTTAGGCGCGACTGTCCTTGGGAAAACCCCCCAGACCCCAGCTCTGCTCACGGGCCTCTCCCTGCCCTCTGGACCCCAGGCGCCTGTCCATCAGACCTGACGCGGCAGTGTCGTCGGCGCAGGAGGCCCTGCTGCGCCCTGACCCCCAGTCTGGCCCGAGGACAGTCTTGTCCACAACTTGCAGGAGTGAAGACAGGTGTGTGTGTGTGTGTGTGTGTGTGTGTGTGTGTGTGTGTGTGTGTGTGTGACTCCAGCAGACAGGGTGTGTGTGTGTCACTCCAGTAAACTGTGTGTGTGTGAGAGAGAGAGAGAGACTCCAGCAGATGAAACGCACGAGTGACTCCAGTTAACAGGGATGTGTGTGTGACTACAGCAGATGTGTGTGTGTGTGCAGGTGTGCGCCTCCAGAAGGTGGTGTGCGAGGGTATGTGTCCCTCCGGTTGACAGCGTGTGGGGGGGAGTGGAGATGACTCCGTCAGTACTGGAGGCCACAAAGCCCTAGGGCACACCGGGTGACCCAGATGCGCCTCGGTCACACAGGCACCTTCCCAGGTTTAGGGATCCCTGGCCCTTGATGCCACCTCCAGAGAGCAGCAGGAAACATCGGGGGACGGGACACACGGGAGAGTGGCAGCACAGCAGCCAAGCATCTGGCTCGCCCACGCCCAAGCCAGGCTGGACCCCAGGCACCCCACAAGTTCTGAGCGCAGCCAGGAGTGTGCCCTGAACACGGCTAGGTGTGTGCCCACGGTGATGACAAGAGACAGCAACAAAAGCCACCTGCACCCCCGGGGCTTAACTCTGCAGAGCTCAGGGCAGTCCCGGGGCAGGGCGTCCCCCGTAAAGCCACAGACACGGCCTCGCGGTGGTGGAGTCCAGCCTCTGACCGTCTCAGAGGAACAGGCTCTGGGGCACAGCGAGGCCACGCGGGGCGTGGACCCAGGACGCATGGCACAGCCGCACACAGAGGCGACCCCCAAGTTCCTCTGGGGGCAAATGAGGGCAGGGGAACAGGAGCCTCTGGCCTGCGCGGACTGGCCGTCCTGGAGCAGCCCGCACTCTCTGCAGCGTCTGCTGCAGGAAAGGCCGACCGCCGCTTCACGGCAAGAAGGTCCACTGTCCCGAAGCTCGTTTCCCGTCCAGTTTCTGGCCACGCCCAGAGGTGCTCGGGGCTCGCTCCGGAGCCTGGCCCCGCGCCAGGCAAGCGCCTCCCCGGGGCCCGGCCGCGCCCGGCTGGCACTCACGTGTCTCAGCCCCTGTCGCGGGGGGCACTGCGTGCGGCTGGCGGCCTGCGGCGGCGGCGTCTGCAGGTGCGGCCGGAAGGGGGGCTGCGCCATGGGCAGCAGAGGCGGGGGCGGCACCGAGAGCTGGTGCTGGTGCTGGAGCGGCTGCGGCGCGTGGGGCGGCGGGTGCGGCGGCGGCTGGAGCTGCGGCGGCGGCGGCTGCGGCGGGTGCTGCGGCGGCGGCGGGTGCTGCGGCGGCGGCTGGAGCTGCGGCTGCGGCTGCGGCTGGTGGGGGGGAGGCAGAGGGGGATGCAGGGGCCCCTTCGTGCCGGAGAGAGAGACCAGAGCCCGAGTCAGGTGGCGCCCCCACAAAGCTCAAGAGCCCGAGAGACCCGCGGAGGCAGGCGGGAAGCTGCCCGGGACTGCGACCCGGCCGGCCCCAAGCAGCTGCCAGGACGCCCTCCCGCCCTCTCTCCCGCGGCGGGACAGCGAGGGGCGCTGGGCGGGCGGGGCCTCGGAGAGCAGAGCGGAGGGGGCTGCCAAGCACCGCCAGGAGGGATTCCTGAGCTCTGCAGAGGGAGACGGGGCCAATCCGGACCGCCGCCAGGTAGGGCCCAAAACGAGACAAGACGACCCCCCCACGGAAGTCACAGGCTGCCCATGAAGCAGCGGCTCCAGGGCAGGCCAAGTGCAAGAGCCACAAGCGCGCACGGAGGGCGCTCGGGACCCTCGGCGTCTGGCTCTTAGCGCGCCTCTCCAGCGGAGCATTTCTGCAGGACCCTGCCTTTCTTTTCCCTTCTCCGATCGCTGAAACAGTGCCAACACCCAGAAATGTCCTGGCTCTCTGCGCTGTGCTCTGAGCGTGTCTCGGGTCCTACGTGTCACACGTCACTGCCTGACACCAGCACCGGGAGGTCTCACCTCCCCCGGTGGGAACGGGCAGCGCGAGCCCTTTCCGCCCAAGGCCCTCGCACTAGTCGGGGAGAAGTGAGGGCGAGGGCAGCCCCGGAGGCATGCGGGCAGCGAACAACGCCAGTGGCCGGCAAAGCCAGCTCCCTCCATGCCAGGCTCTTCCCGCCATCTACTGCAGGAGACAAGGCGACGGACGGCTGTCCCCTCATCCGCTGCTAAGGGATGGTACGATGAGGGTCACGCGACTGGTCGCACAGTGGGGGTAACCAGGTGGTCAGAGAGACCAACGTGACCAAGGACACGATGGGTAAACAGAGTGACCAGTGACCAGGGACATGAGGGGGCAACAGTCAGAGTGACCAACGTAACCAGGGGCGTGACGAGGGAAACAGAGTGACTGATGGGACCCAGGGCACAAGGGGGGGGAACGCACGGATGTGCGTCCCGACGTGATCAGCGGCAGAGGGGAGGGACTCCAAGCAGTGCTCGGGGCCTCCAGGCCTCTCCGGCTGCCTTCCTCGGGGGTGCCGGGACGGGATCGGGTCCGTGAGCCTCCGTGTCGGGGGCCCCGAGCATCTCTCCGCAGTCGCCTCCCACTGCCGCCCAGGGGCCCGCGACACAGACGCCCGCGCGTACCTGCAGGCTGGGCTGCGCGTGCGTGGGCAGGAAGGGCTGTCCAGGGCCGGGCAGGAAGGGCTGTCTGGGCGGGATGAAGGGCCTCGTGGCGGCGGAGCTGGGCTGGCTGTAATGGAGGAGCCCCACGGGGCCGGGCGGCTGCAGCGCAGGCCTCACGGGCCGCTCCCGGGGGAACACGGGCTGCTGGCCCTGCTGGCTGAAGGCGGGGCCGGGCTGCGTGAAGGGCAGGGGAGTGGGCGAGGGCACCGGGTGGCTGCTGCCCAGGAGGGCGGGGGGCGGAGGCGGCGGGCTGCGCTGCTCCAGGAAGAGGTGGCTCGGGAACCGGGGCTCGCCTGAAACCGAAGGGCGCACAGGCAGGGCGTCAGGAGCCGCGCCGGGCCTCCGGGCCCGGACACCAGGCCCCCCGCCCTGCGTTTACCTCCCAGGAAGAACGGGTCCCGGTCCTGGGGGGGCGGGGGCGCTCTCCACTGGTCCTGCAGAGGCAGTCTTGGGGGCTGGGGGAAGCTGGAGGGTCCAGGGCCGGGGCTGTGCTGCGGGAACTCTGGGGGTCCCTGGAGAGAAACAGGTGCAGAGCCGGAAGTCAGGGCGCGCCCCCGGCGGCCCCCGTCCCCACCCCCACCTCAAGCCGCTTCCCTCCCGAACCGCGCTCCAGCAGGGCTAGCGGACGCGCTGCCCCCCGACCTTGCCCAGGTTTGCACCGGGCACCTCACGCTCCTCACAGGCCCTCAGAGGGGACAGACAGACAGGACTGACCTGCAGACTGACACAGGGACACGCAGACCCCCGGGCACGGAAGACGTCCCTGGGCAGAGCCAGAGGTGCCAGCCTTATCCCCGGGAGGACGCCCCAAGCCCACAACGGCAACAATGGTCCCAGGGACCCGCAGACCCAGGGCCGTGTCGGAGCCCAGGCGGACGCCAGCCCCGCTGGGCAGAAAGTGGGTGATGGGCTGGGGAACACCCCGAGCCCAGAGTCGGCCCACCGTGGCCTGCCCCGCACACACGGGGCCAGGCAGACACCCGCGCTGGGGCTGGGGCCTGGACCCCAGCCGTGAGCCACGGGCACTAACAGGATGTGAATCACAGGCCCGGCTGCCGGTCCTGCCAGGGTTCCAACGAGCACTGAGCCAAGAGCACCCACACTGCGGCCGCAGAGAGCGCAAACGGCCGAGTTCCTCACAAAAACCAGAATTCCTTTAAGAGTTGCCGACACCTCACTTAACAGTGCTCGGTACCGATGTGATTCTGCCTCCCGAGAGAAAAGGCTACTCTGGTCCTTTCAAATAAGTGCTCTATTTTGCTTTTCTTTATGTTCACTGAACAGTCTGAGGCAAGAAATTATCATTCTCCCTCCTAATTCTCATACAAATTGTCCTTTCACTCTCCGCATCCCTTGTTAATGATGTGATGTTATCTGCATTAATCCTATTCAGGAAGAACTGATAACTCCAGTCACGAAAAACGGGACGAGAACTTTGCATAAATTGCTTAGCACAAAGTTAATCATATAATGCCGAGAATAAAGGGGCGCTAAGAGCCATTCTGGGAGTTATCAGCTCCCCTGGGAGGTCAGGCGGCAGGTTTCCATGAGGCTAATTGAATACGCGCACAATGTCGGGCGCCACCAGTCTCCCGCGCACCCAGTGCCCTGCCCACGTGCTCGCCTAATCCCACTTCCAGCGCGAGAGCCAGTCCACACCACCAACACCTGGGTTAATCCTCCTGATCCGGGTTAAGTGCCAGGGAAGAGCCACACGTGACCCCGCAGCGGGGCTCTGCCTCCCGCACCCCTCCACACGCTGCTGCAGAAGGGGCTTTCAGCAGAGGGTCATGCACCTGCCGTGGCCCCACGCTGAGTCACTTCACAACCGGGAGAAGAGATGCGACAGGCCCGACCACACTGAGCGCTGCTGTGTGTCTGTGTGCGCACGCATGTGCAGCTTGCATGCAGAAGGGTTGGGATCTGCTCTGGACACTGCAGCCCCGAGAGGCCCTTGGTGGTCCCCGAATAGCTGACTTGACTGCAAAACGCCCTCCACCCCCGCCCCCCGAGGGAACACGGTGGCTGGGGCCCACTCGAGCGATCAGGAACCTTCTTTCACTCAACGCGACCTCTGTCTCCCCAGGCCTGAGGGACGGCACAGCCACACAGATGCCTGCCAGCACTGTCCCTCGCGGTGGCGGTGCCCACCAGGGACACAGCATCCCCCTCCCTCCCAAAAAGGAGATCGGCGTGCCGGCCCCGACTCAGGGCCTGTGGACAAGTGTCCCCACGCACCCGAACAACACGACTGGAGCACGCCTGTGCACGCGCTGACCAAAGCCCCTGCCCAGCAGGCACCACGGTCAGAGACAGCACAGCATGGTGGCCAAGAAAGGGGGCAGCGCGCGTGCAAGGGGGGGACAACGGACGCCACGGGCCCCTCAGCGTGAACGGAAGGATGTCTGCGCAGGGGAAGGCGCTGCTCTCCGGGGGCCCCACGAGGGGGGGGGTCTGCCTCACCCTGTCGACCCGGCTTCAACCCGCAGCCCCTCCTCAGTGTCTCCAGCGCACCCCCAGGAGCGACTCTGAGCAGAGCCAGGAATAAGCCCTGAGCAGCGCCAGGTGTGCCCCCAGGAAACGGCACAACAAAAGCCTCTGAAGAGATCCCTGACGCCCCAAGAGGCCACTGATTTTCTGAGTCATGGCAGTGGCTTCTCCCTACACAGGCTCCCCCAATCTAAATGAGGTGAATCACGCCGAATAAAGCCTCTTCGAACTCCAAACCGTTGGGGAAACAGCAGGAAGCACTCACTGTGAGCGCCAAAGCAGTGGGCAGGCCATGGCAAGGCACCCAGCCAACACTGGCATCACGCGCCCACCCACCACCCAGGGCATGACAGTGGCACCGGAGACAGAAGACAAGGCTGCGCCACTGGACGCTCCTCAGAGGACAGGGAGGAGTGGACGCAGCGGCGCAGGCCCACCGGCCCCCGAAGGACAGAGGCGCGGACACGGCAACGCAGCCCAGCACACGGCAATCCACGCCTTCCCCGGGGCAGCCGTGAGGAAAGCCCTCGGCCCTGTCCGCAGCAGGACAGCGGGGCCCGTGAGCTTCCTGCACTGATGTGATCAGACTTGATGGTATGCTAATGCATGGTAATCGCGATTAATCAGAAATCCACGCGCAAGCGGAGGAGGCTGGGCGACACGTCCCCCGCATCTCCTCGCAAGCCTGACACTGTGACAGCTGGAAGGTCCCATCCCCAAGCGCCCGCTAGGACACGCCCAGCATCCCGCCCCTCCGTGAGTGCAGCTGATCCCGAGGCGCGGTGTGGCGGCAGGGAAGGACCCGGGACTAGCCGCGGCAGCTCGCCCAGCAGCAACGGTCTACGCCGAGGCCGTGGGAGCCCAGTCAGAGGGGTCAGTCCCCAGCACCCAGGACGGACTCCCAAGTCCACCTGAAAGAGTGGTGGCTGCTGGTCGCGTGTGTTCTGCCTCGAACAAGGTCGCCGAGCGATGGCCGAGTCTGGGCGAGCCCCCAAGGCCGAGGCCTTCTGCCTGCGGAGCGACCCGGCCTTCGGGCAGCAACTGTGCCGACTGGCGGAACCTCAGAAGCCACGATCCAAACGATATCACGGGCCAACGGGCGAATGCTGCCTTTTAGGGAAACTTCGGAAACAGTAAGGACGTGACCAGGAAAGTGACCAGGCCCTGAAGAGGCGCCGCGAGCCCGAAAGAGCAACTGCCATGGGGAGCAGCCTCCTGCCCAGACGCTCGGACCGGCTCCGCGCCTCGAGCTGGCGGCGGGGGTGGGGGGGCACAGGGCGGCACCCCCGGAGTCGAGGGGCACCTGCCGCTCCCCCGACGGCTGCTCCCGACTCACCTCTTCTCCATCTGGCAGGTGGCGAAAAGGAGCAGAGGGCGGCGATGGGGCGCGAGGGTCCCAGGAAGGGCCCGACCCAGCCGACACCCGCGGGCGCTCCCTGAGCGGGAATCCCAGCGAGACGGCACAACGGCCCGGAGAGCTCAGCGAGAGCCGCGAACAGAAAGCTGAAGCCCAGGCAGGCGCCTGGCTGGCCAAGGGCCCGAGGGGGAGCCCGTCCTGGGGACAGGCCCAGCCCACAACACCAGCGCTGCGGACCCCACCTGAACACGCGCGCGGAAAGAAACGCAGAGTCTAGAGCACCCGAGTTCAACTTCGGCCTTCGTTTGGTCTTGCTCTTGGGGCACACCCGGCAGTGCTCAGCTGTCACCCTGGGTAGAGCTCGGGCGACCGTATGGGATGCCGGGATCGAACCCGGGTCAGCTACAAGGCAAGTGCCCTCCCCGCTGTACTATCTGCCCTCACCTGCAGTCTTAAATTTTTTAAAAAAACTCAAATAATCATAGAAAAAACCATGTTCCCTCTTAAGAGTTCTCTGTGGAATTCGTTCGTTCTGGGGGTCTCCCAAGAGGCTTTCACAGCTCGTGGCCAGCCAGGCCAGCGGTCAGTGCATGGGCACCAGGGTGGACACGGCTGTGCGAGGGAGGGAACGGGCCAGCCATGGCGTAGCACCATAACCCCTGTACTCCCCAATCCTCTGCGTGAGCTTAAATTCGAAACTGGGCACCAGGGGCCACAGCCAACAGCATAGTAGCTGGGCGTTAGCTTGCATGTGATCATACTGGGTTCAATCCCTGAGACCCCTCACCCCCCTCACCCCTCCCGTCCTGGAGCCCCCTCACCATCCCTCACCCCTCTCACCTATCCCTGAGCCCCCCCCCGATCCCCCTGGCCTGGTCACCCATCCTGAGACCCCTCGCCCCCCTCGCCATCCCTGGGCCCCCGAGCACCACCGGGTGTCACCTTGCAACCCCAAACAAAGCAAGAACCAAAGTCCCCACCTGCCCATTTCCTGAGAAGGAAGAAGAGGGCCACGGCCTCCACCAGGGCTGCGGCCACCCCATACCAGGTGCGACACTCACGCTGCCGACCAGCCCAAAGCGACACTGCTCTTAAGGAAACGGGAATGTTCCTTCACTACGCTCCCGTGACATCCTCGGTACCATGAGGCTTCCTCAGACTCAGCATCAGCACAACTGAAAACCACACGCAGGGCCAGAGCGACCGGGGTGGGGAGGCAGGCCTCGTGAGGCCGCCTGGCTCCATCCCGGCCCGCTATGCCCCCAAGTCCTGCCAGGAGTCAGCCCTGAGCAGAGGCGGCAGGGTGTGGCCCACCAAGAGGAAAGAGTCACAAGCAGCGGCAACTCCACGCAACTGCTCCAGCTCCGAGATGCATCACAGCGGACCACAGACTCAGAAGCCGTCACTGAACACACTGCCTGACCACGGGAGCCTCCCGCCTGAGCCGCTACGCAGGACGGCTGCGGACTCCAGCAAGCGTGTCTTCCTGGGGGAGGGGGGACGAACCCCCACTGGGCCTTGGGGGGCTCAGAGAGAAGAGCCTGGAACTGGGAACTGCACTCCGGCTGATTTTTTCAACACACATTTTTAGAACTTGTAAATCGTTTAAAGAAAAGTACGATCGCAATAGGAGAAATGACAACAGTGAGAAAACCCCACAATTCAGAAAGTAGCTACAAGCTAAAGCACATCCGCTCAAGAATAAGCTCATCATGCACCGTCCTCCCGTTGTTCGTCGATTTGCTCGAGCGGGCACCAGGAACGTCTCGGAGCAAATTGTGAGGCTTGCTGTTACGTGTCTGGCACATCGAACAAGTTCACCATGAAATCTTGGATAATCTTTTCACTATATGACCCTCTCCACACGCATGAAGGTACCGGCAGAGGAACAAAGGCATGCAGGTCCCGGGGCTGAGATCTCCAAGCCTGCTCGGACCAGGGCTGAGCATCCTCCACCCAGACCCCCCACCTTTCCAGTAGGCAGGGGTCACACCCACCAACCGGGCCCCTGGAGCCGTGTAATCCCATCAACAGCCAGGATCCAGAGACTATAAAACCCAGCCCCCAGAAGCATGCAGCCGCATTCATGGCATCTTATCTCATTCTTTGGACAAATCCGGCGGGCTACCGAATGTAATCTGCCCACAGGGCAGAGTCTGGCAAACTCCCCGTGGTGTAGCCAATATGCCAAATGCCAGTAACAATGATGGGTCTCATTCTCCTAAGCCTGAAAGAGCCTTGAATATGGCACTTTTTTAAAAATCTCAGGGCTTGGACGAAGGAGACATTACTGGGGCCTGCTCGAGGCAATCGACGAACAACAGGATGGTCGTGATCGTGATATAACCCTCATGACATCTGACTAAATCATCCCTTTAAGTCCTTTTCCTAGTGGTATACAGATGGGATCTACTGAACCCTCAGTTAAAGGGCCCAACGCAGACGGCCCTGGAGCCAAGCCTGATGCGAGCAGCACAGCTGTTTCAGCCGCTCATACGGAGACTTTAGACAGGGACAGACTGAATGGAGAGTCCCTAGCTAATACCTGGCACCAAACACAAATTTAATAAAGAATAATTTTATGGTCTGGTTCATCTTTCAGGTTTTTTAAAAAGGGCATGTCCTCACTGATCAAGACCACAAATTGTAACTTGAACCAAAAATTCAAATAACATTTAAAGGAAACCAGCTTTTAAACGACCCTAGTACAATACGTCAAAGAAGGATTACTAAAAGAAGGCTGCAGGCTGGGGGGTGTCACAGGCAAGGCTGATAAGCACAACAGGGAGGGCGTTTGCTCGCACACAGCCGCCCCAGGTTCAATGCCCACCATCCTGTAGGGTCCACTAAGCCCCCAGGAGTGATTCCTGAGCACGGAGCAAGGAGTGAGCCGCGAGCCCCGCCAGGTGTGCCCCCGCCCCAGCCCTCCAAGAGTGCGTGTGCGCACCCGGGTACAAGACCAAACTTTGTTTCAACTATAAAGCCCCCAACTCATCAAGACTCTGGAGGCCGGATGGGGAAAACGAGACCCACTCTTACTCCACGCAAGGTCACACCCACACTTCGTGCCCACAAACTCTCTCCCTCGGTCCCTTCGCAAAGCAAGGCTCTTTCTCACTAAGACAGGAAGGACAATGCACGCGCTTTAAAAGACAAGCCACTCATCATCCTCAAGCAACAACTTCACAGCCAAGTGCGATGATTTCTCTGCTCCAGAATCCACCGGCCGGAAGCTCTGAGCAAACGTTTCCACCGTGCACCAGCTGCTACTCACGGGGAATCTCTGGGGGCCCACGGCGGGTCTCGGCTGGCTCGGGAGGGGCAGCAGGGGCACTGCAAGGAGAAGACTCGGGTTAATCAGGCGCCTGCAGACGCCGGCCCAGGAGCCCGCGCGGTGGGAAGGAAGCCCGAGCGGGCTCAGAGCGGCAAGAGTCGGGATCCCCTCATGGGTGACGGGCAGCTACAAGAAACGCAGAAAGAGAGGGATCCTCTTAGAAAAAGCAAACGCGTGGGCTGGGATGCAAGCTATGCCCCTGGCACCTCGGACCACTGACCCGACGGCCGGCGGTGACCCAGAGCCCTGGGCCTGCCGCCTCACTCTCCGGGCCGGACAGCGGCCGCGCGAGCGGAACCGGCTGGTCTCTGAGCAGGCGCAGCTCCCCTCACGGCAGAAGCGCGAGCGGCCAGACCTTGACAGCAGCCCCCGGGGCGGGGAGAGGCACCTGGCCACACGACAAGGCGCAGTCCCCAGGGCAGGGGGGCCGGGCGGGACGGGGACACACCTTGCACCGGCGTCACCACGGCCCCCTTGAAGTGCGGGTTGATGTGGATGTTCTTGGGCTGCTGCGGGGTCACGGGGGGAGGGGTCATCATCACCCGCGGGGTGTCCATCTGGGGCGGCAGGTGCAGGGCCTGTGGCGGGGACGGCAGGTGCGGGTGCTGCAGCGGGAGCAGCGGCGGCTGCTGGAACAGGCTCCGGATCGGCTGCTGCGGCGGCGGCGGCGGCGGCTGTGGCGGCGGCTGCGGTGGGGGGATCAGCCTCGGGGAGTGGGCCTGAAAGACACACGGACAGGCTCGGCCCAGCCCGCGAGCGGGGGACCCGGGCCGGGGTGAAGGGACAGACGCCCAGGGCGGAGCGGGAGCGCACCCTGGCCCTCCTCACAGAGGCCTCCCGGGGGCCGCAGCCAGGCCGCAGCGGGGAGGGCGCCTGCCAACCCGCTGGATCCCAGCATCCCACGTGGGCCGCCGAGCACCACCAGGACGGACCCGAGCATCTCTCGGTGTGGCCCAGACCAAAAAAGGCCTTTCCCAAAGATCTCGCGTCCCACGGCCGTCTAGGCTCCCAGGCATGCCAGGAGGGCGACACCAGGAGCCGAGGGGCGGGACAGGCCAGAACAACAGGAGGCGCTCACCTTTGCCTGTGGCCGGCCCGGGTTCCACAAGGGGACCCCGAACACCACCCCCCACCCCCCAGTCCCCGAGGGACCCCTGAGCATGGAGTCAGAAGTCAGTCCTGAGCTCCACCAGGCGTGGCCTCAAAACAAAATGCAGTCACCAGGGCCACGGGACACCCAGGAGAGATGCAGAGACGACAGCCTGGGAAGAGGACGGTGGGACCCACGGCCCGCCAGAGGGAGGACACGCTCCGGCCACCCAACGCGGGGGGCAGCGGGAGGCACAATCGGGAGCGAGATGTCAGGCCAGTGTGGGCAGGGAGCCAGGGCCGCAGAGGCACTGCCACGGCCGGTCCCCCGCGGAGGGGGAGGGAGGGGTGCAGGGGCGAGCGGGCTGGGTCACTTCCCGCTTCCCTCAAAGCAGGCGTCACCTGGTCGGCAAAGCCTCCGACTCCTGAGGCCGTGAAAACCCTGAAGGATCTGAAGGGAAAGGACCCCGGGCTGCCTGGCAGGAGACGGAAATCGTGTGCAAATGGCTTCCCCCCCACCCCGCGTCAGGAAAAACCGGCACAGAGCAAGAAAGCTCCATCTTCTGGATCTGTTTCTGTTTGGGGGTGCACTGGGCGGAGCTCAGGGGACGAGGGGTCAGGCCGGGTCTCCCCCCGCCAAGCGCCCCCTCCGCGCCCGGAGACCACGTTCCCAGGGACGGGCGGAGACTCACCACCACGGGGGGCTGCGTGGGGAGCAGCGCCGGCCTCTGCTCTTTGAGCCTCGCCCGCTCGCCGGCGTCGCGTCTCTGGTCGCCCACTCCGCGGCACATCACGGCTCCTCCGCGCCGCCCGCCCCGCCGCGAGCCGTAGCGGCCCTGCTTGTGCTGGCGCTCCCGCTCCTCGAACTCGAGCAGCGCGGCCTTGGCCTCCGCGGACAGCTCTGTGGGAGAGACGCAGACGCGTCAGGCGCCGGCAAGCTGTCTCAGCCGCTGGCAGGGAGAGGCAGGCAAGAAAGACGAGGCCCGAGAGCTGCCCGGTGCGGGACCCGAAGGGGTTCGGGCGCTGCCATCGGGGCCGTGAGCGTGGTGTGGGCCGCGCACCCGGCCACCCTTGCCCACAGCTCCTCCAGGGTCCCCGCGGACTGTTCCGGCCACCGACACAGACACGACAGAGACAACCAACCGCCGGATTCGAAGACAAACCCGCAGGGCCTCGCGGCAGGACAGCGGGGAGGGCCTCTGCCCTCTCCTCGGCCAACACGGACTTGATCCCCAGCATCCCACACGGTGCCCCGAGCCCGCCAGGAGTGGCCTGAGCTGAGCCGGGAGTAACCCGAGTACCACTGGGTGTGGCCCCAAGCAAAATCAACCAACCCCAAACACCCCACCGAAGCCGTGACTAAAAGCACTCGAGTGAAGACATGCGAAGGGACGGTGGTGCCAAGGCTACGAGCCTTGGCAGGGTCATCGGGGAACGGAGAGCGCAGGATCTGGCCCCACGGCAGCACACAACAGAGCAGAGGGCCCGGGGTCGCGTGGGCATCCCGCCCTCACTGACCACCGGCGTGGGGTGACGAGAAATGAGCAACTGCAACCAGCTGCCACCCTCAGAGCAGACCCAGGACACTGTCCGCACGTGGGCTCGCGGGGCTGCAACTGACCGTGCGCCCTGAAGGGGTGCCCGGAGCAGCCGTGACCAACACCAGGCCCCCCGCGGTCACCCCCGAGCGCCCCCGGAACCTCTACGCCACGCTTCATTTTCTTGGAACTGTTTCCAGGCACTGCCCTCCCCCTTGAAACGAACCTGGACCCCACTCCAAAGAAAACTTAATCTCCTCTTAACAAGCAGAGACTTTTATTCTAATCTTCACTACATGATTGGTTCGCACACACATTTTATGCGGTGAATCAGCAATTATTTTCCTAGTGGTTCTAAGTGTCAAGATCAATTTCACTATCCCCAGTAATAAAATGGTTTCAACTGACATCTTTAATCAGCAAGTAAAAATGCTTTCCTCCAATTGAGACAAGCTGTCACGAAAGGTCACCAAAATATGACAGGATGGAAATTACATTTGTAACTTCAACTGAAATGTTAATTTCCCTTTAAGTGTTTTCTGAACTCTGTCCAGAGTCTAAAGTAAAGAGATATCGCGGAATACCACAGTTTTACACTGTATCGTTCCTCCTTAATGTGCTTATGAAAAACATATTTGCATGCAAATAATTTTATAATAGTTGTGAGGAATAGGCAATGAATGAATACAGAAACAGTTTATCTGGCAAACAAACATAACAAAAGCATGAGCTTGGGTACATGATAACTGCACGATAACTGAATCACGAGATCTGTAAAAACCTTACAAACATAAAGTTTGTAAGTTTATAAGGTTGCTGACAATAGAAATCTATTATGAGATGAAAACCTTTATTCCCACAGGCCTTTTGCCCTGCCCCCACCCCTCAGGATGTGGGGGCGACCAGGCGGCTCTTGAACCTAAGGCAGTAAGACGCAATTCCGCACCTGACGTGCCCACGAAACAAGGGCTGGATACTCACAATCCCCAGCCCACCAACGACACTGAGCCTGCCTCGGGCCAGGGCAGCCTCCTGTTCACCCCGGGGCCACCCGGAGAGCCCACCAGGGGACCCCCACCGAGACGCTCGCAACTCTGCGCAGGGGCGCGTGGCAGGCTGACCACTCCCCGCGAGTGTCCACGGCCACCACAGAAGGAACGCCCCGCTCCTGCGCTGCTCGAGGGCCCTGCAGGCGAAGTGAACTCAGCCGGCTCTTACCGACGTCCCTCCCAACTGCAACTCGGTTCTTCTCGAACCCGGCTGCAGCCCCTGGCCCAGACGGAAAGCCCCCGCGCTCTAGCCCTGAGTACGCGGCCGGGCTGGCAAGCGGCATCCTTCAGCTCTGGGGTGGCACGTGCACATCCTCGAGATCGCGGGGGGAGGCCCACGCCACACGCAGAATCGAGGACAGGAAGGCGGCCAGGTCACTTCACTCTTCCTTTCCAGAGTGGGCGCTCTCCACAGTGAGCACACAGATCACACGCTCGTGGTCTGATCAGTGCTCAGAGGCCCCGCGGCACGGAGCAGCCTCCCAGCAGCAGCGGACACGGCCCCCAGGCTGGCTGGGGAGCTGCTGGTCTGACCGTGCCCAGGAGCACCGAACGTAGCTGCCGCTGCCACAGACACAGCATCACGGGGTGCACAGCCCCCCCACCGGGCGTGACCCAAAAACTAATCAACTGCTTCTGCTACGAGGGGAAGCCTCCACAGCATTCAGGGTTTGGGGAAACCCATCTCCGAACGGACAGGATAGTCTTGACCAAGAGCATCTCACATTTCTGGAGGTCAGGCCTAAGGGCAGAGCGCGGAGCACCAGCCTGCAGGAAGAGCTCAGCCGGTCGGGATGTCTGGGAGGACGGTCAACTGACAAACCGGTTAAGGTGCCCCCAGGGACCCCAAGCCTCCCCAGCACGCCTGCAGCCAGAGGCTCTTTCCCAGACAGCACTGGCCCTGAGCGCTTCGAAAGGAAGGCAAGTGGCCTGAGGAGGAGGGAGGGGGGAACAGAGACCCGAGGAGCCGGGCTGGCCTGCAGGGGGCTGGCTGCAGAGGAAGGCCCCGCTCGCGGGGGAGGTGCCTGAAATGCCAGGTGGCCCGTTCAGACAGCAGGCGGCCCTCCGGCCGCCACCCGTGTCCCTGCAGATCCCCTGGACCCCGACATCCACCTCGCAGTCTTCCTGGAAACACACAGCCCGCGCCAGACCTGGGCAAGTGGGTATCGAGACCCGAGGGAAGCCGGGTGGGGCCACGACCGCTCTCTCCGGGAGCCTCCCCAGAGAGTCCAGGGCAGCGCCCGACCGCGTGCCTGCTTGCAGCCCGTGCGAGGGCTGGAGACGGGATCCAGAGCTCGTTTCCCAGTGACACCACAGGGCTGGAAGGGGAAGGTCAGTCGCAGTGTCCCGGCCTCAGTCGGAGGGGCAGAGCAGGCGCGACCCCGGCTCTCCCCACCCCTCCCTCGGCCTGTAGACATGCTGGGCGCAGAGAGTCTCTGCGGGAGACCCGGGCCACAGGCGCCGCTCAAGGACCAAGACAAGACGCCCCGTTCCTGCACTGACGGGGTCCGAGCAGCTGAAGGGGCTCGACAAATCGACATGACAAGTCACAACAGGACGGCCACTCACGGGGCTCAAGAAACCCGGCGCCCTGGGCCCCCCAGTGCAGGAACGCGGAGAGCATGGCACGCGGGCCCGGCCACAGACTAGCAGGAAAACAAAGCCCCGACACTCCATCCAAACATCTTGAATGCGCAGACAGACTGCCCCGTGCCGGCGGCACCACGACCGAGAGAAGTCCCCTGTCACCTATCCGATCCCTCCAAACCGTGCAGAGAGTGAAATGGAAGCGAAGGAGGACGGAGACAGGCAAGAAAGTTACCCAAAGTTTCTGGAATGTTCCTTCTCTCTCTAGTTACGTCTGAGAGTCTAATAATGGTTCCTTCTTTCCTTTCAGTTTTGAAACGTAATCGTCCAGACTCTTCATCTTCGTCATCTTCTTCATCTGATTCCTCTTTTATGTCCTTCTGTAGTTCCAAAGTTTCCATGCTTCCCTACAATGCAGACACAGAACACAAAGGGGGAATGAGTGTCCGCCTCTAATCAAGGCTGCTCGCAGTGGGGGCGCCCACCCTGCCCAGTGTCCTTCTGGAAGGTCACGCGAGCCGCCGAGCCCAGTGCAGGCGGGAATCTCTGCATTAAAAGCTAAGCCGACGTGGGCAAAAGTTCTCACCTCTGCGGACAGGGAAGCTCAGGGCCGGAAGCGCACAGAGGCACAAGCCCACCCGGGCACGCGGCTTCCCAGGTGGCACACACGACCGCCGGACCAATCGGACGACAACCGCTGGGAACACCGCTCAGAAGAACCCCCAAATGCGCGTGCGCAAACACTCCACAGCCCTCGTGGCTACGCGTACTTGTGAAGAACAGAGCGTTCTAAACCCCCCTGCTGACCTCTAGCTAATGCTGATTTTCTGAAAATCCAATCTGGTAAAGCAACCCAGATTAGGGGCCGGGCAACAGTACAGTGGGAGGGCCCCTGTTTCGCTCTCTGGTACCCCATAAGGTGTCCCAAGCCCTGCCAGGAGTGACCCCTGAGCATCGCGGGGTGCGGCCTAAAAGCGAAAGAAATTCGAAGCTTTTAAACTAAGTTGCCCCCGCAGTGTCTGAGCTCTCCTGAGACCAGGCTGGAGACCCCTGAGCACTGCACCGGCCTCCACTGCCGCCTCCCGGCCCAAGGTCCGGACGGTGAGGAAGCGACCGTCTCTTCCCCACACTGCAGCGTTCGCCAGCGACCGTGGCACACAGGTTTCTGCAGGGTCGGTGGCCCGTGCTGCCCCCGCTCCCGTCTCCGTACCCTGCGAGAGCGACCACCAGCAGCGCCTGTAAACTGAGGCGACCAACAACCCCCAGACCTCGGACTCAGGATTTGGGAAAGGCTGTGGGACAAACAAAACCGAGCCGGTTCATGAGCGAACGCGCAAGAGTGACACGATCCACGGGCAGAGGGTGGCGCAGCACCCTCTGCCCGTGTCTCCTGGGCACGGCCACCAACCAGGGATGGGCGCTCCCACTGCTGTGGCCCTCAGCCCCGTGCTGAGTGCGGATGCTCCTTTAGCTTTTAGCCCTGAGGACTGCTTCGGGCCTGTCGCTCACAACACCTGAATTTTAAAGCACCACAGTCTTTACAGGTCTGCAGGAGGGAGGTACACCCAGGACCTCACACACCCACAGCGGCACTGCCCCCACCCCGCTGCCTCCCCACATACACAGTGACACTGCCCCCAGCTCTATCCCCACACAGTGACACTGCCCCCGCCCCAGCTCTATCCCCACACAGTGACACTGCGCCCCCAGCTGTACCCCACACACACACAGTGACACTGTCCCCCCCAGCTGTACCCCACACACACAGTGACACTGTCCCCGCCCCAGCTGTATCCCCACAAACACAGTGACACTGCCCCCAGCTCTATCCCCACACACACAGTGACACTGCCCCCAGCTCTATCCCCACACACACAGTGACACTGCCCCCCCAGCTGTACCCCACACACACAGTGACACTGCCCCCAGCTGTACCCCACACACAGTGACACTGTGCCCCCCAGCTGTACCCACACACAGTGACACTGTCCCCGCCTGAGCTCTATCCCCACACACAGTGACACTGCCCCCAGCTCTATCCCCACACACACAGTGACACTGCCCCCCAGCTGTATCCCCACACAGTGACACTGCCCCCGCCCCAGCTCTATCCCCACACAGTGACACTGCGCCCCCAGCTGTACCCCACACACACAGTGACACTGTCCCCGCCCCAGCTGTATCCCCACACACACAGTGACACTGCCCCCAGCTCTATCCCCACACACACAGTGACACTGCCCCCCCAGCTGTACCCCACACACAGCAACACCGCCCCGCCAGCGGTATCCCCGGTCCCTGACATTCGGGGAGTCGGCCAGGAGTGTGTCACAGGAGCGGCATCAGAGGCCCGTGGGCAGCCGCACTGACTAGTCCCGGGGCTCTGTCCGGCCATCCAGGCAGACTCGCCTTCAGCCTCGCTCCTCCAGGGGGAGCCAGAGCCTGCGGGCCACAGGCCACTTGGCAGCGAGGCCAGAGAAGAAACGACCACCAGGAGCACAAAGACTCTATCACGACCGTCATTTCTAATTCCGCCACCAACAGCAATTACGGCCCAGAGACTTCCCAAACAAGCTCAGTGTAAAACATGACAGTATGAGAATTAATATCGTTTCGTCTGCATCCAAAGCTCCCTGTCAGAAACCTAAAGACAGGCTGAGCCGAAAACTGTTTCTCCGAAGCAAACAGGGGAGTCAGCGAGAAAGGCATCTCGCCCGTGTCGAGCCGACGGCCACTCGGCTTCCCAGGAGACCTGCAGGCCCAGTCCGCAGACCCCAGTCTGGGACGGACCCGGGAGAGGCGGGCAGAGCTGCAAGACGGCCGTCCCGGCTGGAGCGAGCGGCACAAAGATGTCCCCGAGGCCAGCTCTGGTCTCAGGCCCCAGTGCTCACGAGAACTGGACACACACCGGGCCTCACGCATCCCAACCAAGACTGCAGGCCCCAGAGTCAGACCATCCGTCACCCCAAACACCAGCTCTCCTGCCAGGAGGAGCCCCCGAAACAAACACCCACTCGCCCCGAACATGCATCTTCTTTGGTCGCGACAAGACTAATCTCGCTGCCAAAAGACGGGCTTTCTTTTCCGTTTGGGGTCCCGCCCAGCGGTTCTGGCCAACAGGCTACAGGTCACCGCGAGAGCCTGCGGGGCCGTGCTGGCCAGGCCTGGACACCAGCCAGGGATGAGGCGCACAAGCAGGGTCCACAGCACGCAAAACTGGACTCTCTCTCTCTGGCCCTGAAAATACTGCCTCTGAAGGTTTTAACAAATGTACCTGGGATTTAAGTCACGAGAAAAACTCCACTGGTACTGAGGGGAAAGGTGCTACTGAGTAACACAAAAATAAAACTATGCTGTTTATTTATGCAAAACCTTAAGTATGATCGTAAATGATGTTTCTCATTCTAGACTGCCAAAAATATCCAAAGGTTGGACCGTAGCTGCGTCTCTACAAAACCAAAAGAGGTGCTTCCGGTTTGATGCCAGTACTGCCGAGTCCTACACGCCAGGGTAGCCGGGAGGCCACAGGGCCCACAGCTCTGAAATGGACCAGTATCCTCAGGGTTTTGGGGGAGAAAAAATAGTCCTCTATTCTAAATTCAAGGGGGGAAAATGGATTGACTCCTGAAATGGGGAAAAAGCAAAATAAACATAGCAAACAAAGATTTTAAAAATCTTTTGGGGGACCAGAGAGATGGTACAGTGGGGAGGCACATGCCATGCACACGGCCAACCTGGGCTCAATCTCCGGCATCCCACACGATCCCCGGCACACCACCAGAGAAACTCCTGCGTGCAAGGCCAAGAGTAAGCACCAAGCATAGCTGGTGTGGCCAAAGCCAAAAACAATTTCTTAATTAAAGAACTTCCAGGGTGGGGCTGGAGCCATAGCACAGCGGGTAGCGCGTTTGCCTTGCACGCAGCCATCCCGGGTTCGATTCCCATCGTCCCATATGGTCCTCGGAGCACCGCCAGGGATAATTCCTGAGTGCAGAGCCAGGAGTAACCCCTGCGCGTTGCCGGGTGGGACCCAAAAAGGAAAAGAAAACTTCCAGGGTGTGGGGGGCAGAGAGACAGTACGGCAAATAAGGAGCACGCCTTAACACGGCCGACCCAGGTTCAATCCAGGCATCCCATGATCCCAAGTCCTGCCAGTGTGATCCCTAAGTGCAGAGCCACAAGCAGGCAGGCCCTGCGTACTGCCCGGGTGGCCCAAAAAAACTAAACACTCTCTCAAGAGGTCCATGACAGGGAGTCCAGGAGTTGTGGTGGCCAACTCCAGTCCGGTCCCGGCGTGGCCTCACAAGCACCACCAGGAGTGACCCCGAGCAGAGCTGGGCGTAACCCTCAACACCACCAGGTGTGGCCCAAAATACCCCTCCAATCTGTGAGGCTCGCGGGAATTCTTTCCGGCATGAAACACTGACCTTCCAGTCACAGGAAAAGGACATCTGCTGACTCCAGCCTGCGTGTGTCCCGAGGGACCTGCAGGAGGTGCCACCTCTCCCCGGTGAAGGCGAGGAGTGTGGCACCGCCCCGTTGCTTCCCAAACACCAGAAAAGCAGACAGGCTCAGACAAGAAGGCCCTACAGGGTCCTGCACGCGCTTCCTGTCCCGAGCACAGGACTACAGGAGGGCCAACAAGGCACCACACACAAAAGGACACCAGGGCAGGGAGGACGGGGCAGAGAGGACAGGGAGGACGGAGCAGAGAGCGGGGCAGAGAGCACAGGGAGGATTAAGCAGAGAGAACGGGGCAGAGAGGACTGAGCAGAGAAGCTGGGGAGGACAAAGCAGGGAGGACGGGGAGGATGGAGCAGAGACACTGGGGAGGATGGAGCAGGGAGGACAGAGCAGAGAGGACGAACCGGCAGGGAGGGCGGAAAAGGAATGGAAACCAAGTCTATAGTTTTCTCGGTTTAATTCACATTAGTAAGAAACAGATAAAGCTACGTGATTATCTCGATGCATAAAACTGACAAAACCCAATACCCATCTACAGTTTCCAAAAATAATCTCTGAGGGCTACAGAAAACAAAAATAAGCCGCCCGCCTCTCAGGCTCATCAGGCTGCCAGGCGGAGGACAGGGCCGGGCCCGCAGGGCGACAGGCACCGGCACTGGCCCAGCAAAGGGCACCCAGGCTTCGTCAGGCACCAACAGGGTCAGCAGCAACGAAGACGGCGTTTCCCGGGAACTCAGAGCTCCCGGAGGCACCCGAGGAGGGTGTGGGGACTCAGCACGTCCGTCTCCCACACCCGCCCTGCTGCGCCAAGTGTCTGCGAGCCCGCGCCGTGGGCACTGCTTGCAGGGGAGCAACCCTGCCACCGAGTGTGCGGGACACAGCCTGAAAGGGCACGACCCTCCCGGCAGCACCTGGCACAGCCAGAGAGTGACCCAGGTAAGCGGGCAAGGGCCCAGCAGGCCCGACCCGAGAGCCTGAGGACAGGGCCACTGCCCAAGCAACCCACTGAGCATCGGAGAACAGCACCGACACGTCTTCACATCGCACGGCCCGCCAGAACCACCCAGACCTTCTTCCCTGCACTGGAGGGCGACACCCAGAGAGAACCGCCAGCCCAGGACCACGGATCACGGCCAGGAGCCTGCGGCGCTTCCCACAAGCACCCCTAGCTGACACACGGACGACTCGTCCGTGCCTGCAGAAAAGCCGACACTCACACTCACACAGACCTGTGAGCCTGTCCTGAGCCCACACTCCAGCACAAGCTCACTCCCAAGAAGCACACACTCTCACAACCTACACACACACAGCCGACACACAGAACCTACACTCACACGAAGTACACTCTCACGACATACATTCTTACACAACCTACACATGCTCACACATAACCCCCACACACACTACTCCCTCACAACCCACACACACAAAACCTATACAATGAAACACAACGTACAGAGAACTTGACACTACACAACCTACACTCACACACAACCTACATACACTGCGCACTCTCACTGCAACCGACACACTCACACATGACCTACTCACAACCTACACTCTCGTACAACCCACACACACAACCTACACTCACGTGCTATTCTCACAACCTATACACACAACTACACTTATATATTAACCTACACACTCACACACAACTCACCCACGTATACAACACATATACACACAAGCTGCATACATAACCTACACATTCACACAATCTACACTCTTACAACCTACTCACACATGACCCACCCGTAACTACACACAACCTACACACAACGTACACTCACATACAACCGACACACTCACACAGCCTACATTCACACAATTACATACACACTCACACACAACCTACACACTCACAAATAACCTACACACACCTGCACTTCACACACGTGACCTATACACATAGCCACACTTACACAACCACACAACCTATACAAACTCGCACACAACGTACACACTCAAATACAACCTACAGACTCTCAGACACTCACAAAAGCTCAGTTAACCTACACACTCCCGCATTCATACACACCTTATACTCACAACCAACACACTCTCACACATACAGTTACAGATTCAAAACAACCTACAGTCACACACACACAAGCAACCACACACAACCTATCCATACACATAGACTCAACACAACTCTCACATACTTACAGATTCAATACAACCTGTACACTTAACACACACATGCAACCTTCCCACACACAGGCACGGACTCAATACAACCGACACACTCATTCACTCACTCTCACACATTCACATGCAGACTCAATACAACCACGCACATTCACTCGGACCCACTCATTCTCACAGGCACTCGCATTCACGCCGACACACGAGCTCTCCACTCTCACACTTCCATGTGCACATCACACTCTCGCTCACACTCGCACTCTGCCCAGTCACCATCTCTAACCCTCAGGGCCGCTCCCCCTGGGAAGCTGCTCGGAAGTCCTCAACTGGCTGGTCCACCCACCCTCGGCCACTGTCACTGTCACCCCACCATGGCCCCCAGGGCGCCCCCAGGGTCCCCAAGAATCTATCACTGCTATGCAGAACTAGGCATACTTCCCTTCACTTGACCGTTTAAAACGACTCTTTTAATAATGAACCTCTAACAAAGATGAGCACCTTCTTTCCAAACAGACTGAAAAAACCACCTACCCAGCAAAATCTTTGGGAAATATAAATCAGTACCATCTCTCCTTCCGATTATCAGTAGCCAATTATGTGTGACATTTCCCAAGCTAAGCTCCAACCTCTTTATTCACGTCGAGACAGTTCTCAGTTACGAACAGGGATGCCTGCGCAGGACATCAATCACTGCCCCTTAAAGATGTCTTTAGCAGGTCAATAATCTTTTCACCTAGGAAGGACTTTATCAGATCTGGTCTAGGGCCTGGATAAAAGCTCCGCATTAAGTACTCCTCGCCATTGACAGGGTCTCTCCACCACACAAAGCGGTTTTCTTCCTGAGGGTGCACGCCTCAAGGTCACAGTTCTGTGCAGCCTTCCGGAATGACAAAGGAGCATTACCTCTGGCCAAACAAGCTGTCAGCACAAACTTTGTCATCGCTCCGATAAAGAAACTGGCAGGCAGTGATAATAAGGTCTAATTTCCCCTGCTCCCGAGGGAGGCCGAGCTGCCATCCGCCTGGAGACCCGTGCCCGGGAGCCGGCGTACAAAGGAGACTCACTGCGAATTCATCCAGAGGCTCATTGATCTCGAGGTCCAGCACTTCGTCATTGTACAGCTGCTCCTCCTCGGGCTCCTCCACGTACTCGCCGTGCTCGTCCGTCAGCTCGGCTTCCGGGCCCTCGTACTGTGCTCCCTCGGGGTACTCGTACAGCTCAGAGACGTCGTCGCTTTTGTGGTACGCCAGTTCGTCCTCGCCCTGCTCATACTCGGACTCCTGTTCTCCAGAAGGGTCGTTCGTGTTGTCGGACAGCTCGAAGGAGGTGACCAGGCCTGACGTGGCATTGAGACCGATCGAGACACTCTGGGAACTGCGAGGACAAGAGCGCAAGACACATAGGTTCTAATGATGCAGACTACCAACTCCTCTCTATGAAGAACACGCAAGACTCACTTGAAACCATTTCAACGTTGACAGCAGAATGAATAGATACCAACCATCACCTCTTACAAGGTCCTAACAGCTGAAGGAAATAGGAGGGTTTTGAAACTACTGAAAATTTAGATTCTGCTCATTAAGTCACAACAGTCAGATACCAAACAGTTACAAGATTCAAGAACTTCAGAGGCGCCAGAGACAGGAGAGCGGGGAAGGCACCTGCCCTGCACACAGAGAGCCTGGGTTTGAACCCTGGCACCACATACAGCCTTGGTATCCCGAGTCCTCCAGGAGTGACCCCTGATGTGGGTTCAGGGGTGAGCCCTGAGCACAACTGAGGCCCAAATCCTTCCAGCACTCTCCCCAGTCCCCAAAAAGAATTTAACAATTTCAAAGACAAAACTTGGATAATAAATCTGTGTTTACACATTCTATTAAATCATAATAAAAATCTGAATATGCCACGTGGTCTCAAGACATACTGTGACTCTTAAAAAGTTTAAAGAGGGGCCAGAGCGATAGCACAGCGGGGAGGGCGTTTGCCTTGCACGCGGCTGACCCGGGTTCGATTCCCAGCATCCCACAGGGTCCCCTGAGCACCGCCAGGAGTGATTCCTGAGTGCATGAGCCAGGAGGAACCCCTGTGCATCGCCAGGTGGGACCCAAAAAGCCAAAAAAAAAAAAGTCCAAAAGTCCAAAGCTTGGGGCCAGAGTGACAGTACAGCGGGAAGGGTGTTTGCCTTGCACACGGTCAACCCAGGTTCAATCCCCAGTATTCCATATGATCCTCCCCAACAACACCAGGAGTCATTTCTCAGTGCTGAGCCAGAAGTGACCCCTGAGTATCGCCAGGCGTGACCCAAAAAGACAAATAAAAGTCTAAAGATCATCTTCCAAGGCCTTACCTAACATTTTACCATGTACTTAAGCTTCTTGTTTGCATTCTTTGATCAAGATGCAATAATGGTATCAAAGAATGGAAACGAGAAGCTTAAGTACATGGTAAAATTTACTCGTCTAAACTAGAGTTTTGCAAACACACTTACCTAACGTTAGAAACTACTACAAATACCGTTCAATAGAAGCATGTTTGTAACCAAGAATCGTATCTGTAACCGTATTTGTTTGTAACCAAGATATCATTACATTTATAACCAAGTGGCGTCTCCTGTATTTTCACAAGGCTTCCTCACAAAACGGCGAATTCTTCCCAGCTGCAGAGTGCAGACAGGAAGGAACGGGGGCGGGGAGGGGCACTGCAGCTGGAGTAGCTGCGCCCAAAGCGTAGCAGGTGCAGGAGGGACCAGAGTCCCAGGACGGGACCAGTGTCCTGCAGAGTGGCCCCGGCAGCCTCCTGGGAGACCTGTCAGGAAGGGGCCGGGACGCCAGCACAGGCTGTGCAGAAGCGGCGGGAGGCGCGGGAAGCGAGCGCGTCAGTCCGCAGCCTCTGGCTCCCGGCAGGCACCGACCCTGACCCCGCCCAGCTCTACAGAGAACACGCTCTCCCCACAGCCCCGCTCAGAGTCGACTCCCGGGCAGGGTACCCAGAAGGACGACGACAGCCCACCCCAATCCCTCCTGAGCAGTGCCGAGTGATTCGGCTGAAGCGCACAGTTTCATCAGCCAGCAGCGAGTACCTGAAATTCTCTTCATCTTCATTATCACTCTGCAAAAGATCATCATTGAGTTCTTCATCTGACAAATCCGACTGATTCTAATGAAAAAAAAAAACAACATCAAATTAACGCACGTCACTCCATGAAGACTTACAAGAGTGCAAAATCACCATCGCCCGACAGCCTCAAGCCTGATGTCACGGAACACTGACCACTCCGTAATTTTCTGTGGCTACACCAACTGGTGGACCTACAACCACCAGGTCCAGTGCAGGAGCTGATGACCAGATTTACCTGATCCACCAGGAATGGACAGGGGCTGGGATATGGCCTGAGTGGCAGAGCACAGGACTACCCCCGGAGGCCCTGCGGGGGTGTGGGGGACCAGGCCCTTAGTACCACCACGGAGTCCCCAGAACAATTACAAATAAAGGAAAACAGATAAAAGGGAAAAACAGAAGAGTCCTTTCCGAGTGCCCAACTTTCATCAAGCACAAAAACTGTTTTAAGACCTGAGTAAATTCAACAGCATCCCAAAGTACTTGGAAAAATATACAGATCGGAAAAAGAAAAATATACAGATTTTTAGAAATTAGTGGATTTTAGAGAACTAGACCCCACCTTGACACTGTAAGGCCCCGAGTCAAACTTCCATCTTAAACAGGTGACCTGGTCAGCAGCACCAGCCCGTGACTGGAAATGATGGTAAAGATGACCCTGGTCAGCGGAACCAGCCTCTGACCAGTCATGACCACAAAAGTGACCTGTACAGCAATATCAGCCTCTGACTGACAATGACCTTATGTAAAGGTGACCTGGACATTGAGATCTGCCTCAGACCATCAGTGACCACAAAGGTGACCTGGACAGCGAGATCTGCTTCGGATCAACGATGACCACAAAGGTGACCCGGACAGCGACATCACTCTCTGACCATCAGTGACCACAGAGGTGACATGGACAGCAAGATCAGTCTGACCAGCAGTGACCACCAAGGTGACCTGCAGCAGCCGTGACCACAAAGGTGACCTGGACAGTGAGAAGGTCAGTCTCTGACCAACAATGACCACAAAGGTGACCTGGTCAGTGGGATCGGCCTCTGACTGGCAATGACCACAAAAGTGACCAGGAAGACAGCAAGATCAGCCTCTGACAGTGACCACAAATGTGACGTGGACAGGAGGACCGGCAAAGTCAGAAGACCAGGAATGTGGATCAGGAGACACTCAGGGAAGGTGGTCAGGGCCCAGGGACACGCAACAGGAGAGCCTGGCTGTGCATTTACACACGCGCCCGCACACACATGCGTGCAGAGAAACCCACACACACGCTCAAGCACACCCATGCACGTGCACATACATGAATGCAGACACCCCCACACACGTGCACTTGCACACACATAAAGGCATAATGTGCGAGCACACACGTGCACACCCACGCATGCACACACACGCGAGCAAACTAAAGAGCGACGCACTCTGACAACACGAACAGTGTTTGTGCCTCACCCCGAGGCCCAAAGCTGCCCATTCTGAACCGCCCACAGGAAACCCTCCACTAGCTCGTGCGTCCGGGCGTCACTCTACCACAGTGATGTGCTGAGATCGGCTCCACTACCCGGAGGCAGCTGCAGCAACGGTGGGTGCAGGGCGAGCACACGGCTGAGGGGACACGCACTGCTCCCCTCTGCTGGACCCGCAGGGAGCGTAGGTTTATTACGGTACTCCCACCACAGTGCTCCTGAGGCACACCCAATTCCATCAAGCACTCCTAATACTATACTGCTTTTCTCTTTCCTTTATGTCCTCTGCGTGGTTTAGCAATGTCCTCTTTGTATGGACTCAGGAAGACCGCTGGAGCGATAGCAGGGGCTGGAACGATTGCACAGCAGGTAGGGCGTTTGCCTTGCACGCAGCCAACAGGGCCGACCCGAGTTCGATTCCTCCGCCCCTCTCGGAGAGCCCGGCAAGCTACCGAGAGTCTCTCGCCCGCACGGCAGAGCCTGGCAAGCTCCCCGTGATGTATTCGATATGCCAGACACAGTAACAACAAAGTCTCATGATGGAGATGTTACTGGGCCCGCTCAAGCAAATCAATGAACAACGGGAGGACCGTGACCGTGACCGTGACCAGAAGACAGCTGATTCTTTGCTTTTGTAATATGGGACTTAGCTGACTCGGAAATAGTACATTTACTCCTGGACATCCACCATATTTACCTGACTTAAGCCTCAGTTGCCCTTACTTCTTCACAGCCCCAAAAGGAGGGTTCCAGCAAGGGACAAAGATGGACCCAGGGCAAGCGGTAAGGTGCCCTGGCATTGAAAAGGGACAAGCTAAGCGCCAGGAGAAGTAGAAATAAGTTAAGAGCACGGTCACAGAACAAATTGTCGTGACCCAAAAAGTAACTGAATAAGGACCCTGCTGGGGCTAGGAGAGACTAATCTGGCCTGAGGACTGGGGTCTGGAATACAGAGCGAGATGTCCCCAGGAAGAGGACATCTGAAACCTTTAACAATATGGGCTGGAGCAATAGCACAGCGGGCAGGGCATTTGCCTTGCACGCGGCTGACCCAAGTTCAATTCCTCCACCCCCTCAGAGAGCGTATTGAAGAGTATCCTGCCCGCACGGCAGAGCCTAGCAAGCTCTCCGTGGTGTGTTCGATATGCCAAAAACAGTAACAAGTCTCACAATGAAGACGTTACTGGTGCCCGCTCCAGCAAATCGATGAACAACGGGGGGACAGTACTACAGTGCTACGAGTTTAATAACTACGAGGAAGAAACGTCTATGCCGTAGGAGAATGGAGCGGCAAGGGTGAGAATGAAATAAACGGTCACTGATCACCAAGCAGCCTGGGGCCCTGCTCCTCCATTCCCCTTCCTCCATTCCTCTGTCGTCTGTCACCATGGGCCAGCCGGGGAACGGCTCCTGGCCACCAAACGCATGCATCCAGCGCGCCATGCTCTTTGAACTCACACCCTCTCGTGCACACACTCAACGTTTGCCATTCCCAAGACTGCTGTGGGCCTTTAGGTAACTGTCATGACCAACGGGACGGGGAGGAGGGCAGAGGCGCCCACACAGGGCAGTCGCAGAGATGCCGCGCGTTACTGCGTGACATTCAACGCCAGGGAACAATCCTGAAGCCACGGGGTGTCCATGCGTGTCCTTGCAGGTGGTACTTCAGGCCACACAGAACTCAGCAGGAGAGATGCCCCTTTTTTGTCGCTCTTTTCTCATCTACCTGAACTGCCCCCTACAAGCACCATGCAATTCATTCTTTCACGCCCAGAAAGGGGTTGGGGGCAGGAAGCCCCTGCCAAGCCCTGCCTTGGGCATCGTGACCCTTGATTCCACAGGAGGGGAACCACAGCAAGAGCTGCCCGGCCTCACCAGGCAGCGAGACACTGCTGCCACCAGCCCCCGCCCCCGCTGTCCCCGCTTACTCCGGTAGTCCAGCCCAAGCTTCCTGGGCCCAAGTCAAAACCCCCAGGCAGCGAGCACTGGGCCCTGGCGCCTCCACTGGACTCAGCCTGCCCCCATGCAGCCAGAGGCCCGGCTCGCAGTAGGACGCAGGGCACAGGCAGCACCCGGCCTTCCCTTCCCGCCTTGGGGCCAAGTGATGCCCAGGAACCCCGGAGCTGGCAGCAAGGGTGGGCAGAGTCCAGCCAACGATGCCACAAACAAGGAGACACGGAAAGGAAAGAGGCTTCCTGAACCCCGAGCCTAGGCGCAGCTCTGGGTCAGAGCAGCCTCCTCGGACCCCTCGGAGAGCAAGCCGCACAAAGGATCCCGGGGAGAAGCAGCTCACTCTGTGCACGCGCGACCCCGGTTCACCCCAGCACCCCACAGGATCCCCTGAGCTGCCAGGAGTGATCCCTGAGCACTGCCGGGTGTGGTCCAAAAACAAAACAGAAGGAAAAAAAATGGTAAGATAACCCTGACGCTCGGCAACAATACTAAATACCGAAATGTAAAGGATGCACATTAATACACTGTTTATTATGTAAATAGCATACTATTTATTGTGTATTTATTATGTGCATAATGTTATGTAATGAGAGCTCTAACATTTAACAACCACTTTTTTTTAACTGTTAACAAAAGTATTTCACGCAAGTCTTTGGCTTTTCATTCCTATTTTCAATGCATTTCCTGTTTAATGTGTCTAAAACACAGCTAGACACAGACTTAGGATACAGACTTATAAATCTGCGGATTAGAGCCACAACTTTCAGTTAAGCAAGTATGAGGTTCTAGGCTCTCATCTGTATTTATCTGAATGTTCTCCCGATCTTGTTGCCACTGAGTCTATCTCGCGACTCCCCAAAAGGAAGCCTCCTCTCATCCAGCACGCGGAACATTAACTGAACGTCAGACCAGCGGAGGGGAAGCAGAACGTCTGCCTCAGAGGTCAGTGCCGGGTTACGTGTTACTGGAAAATCTACGAGTCGAGTCAGCAACTCAACGTCCAGCACATTCCCCTGCACCACACGCCCGGACTGTGCCCGCGTCCCCGGAGCCGGGATGCGGGGCCCTCCCGGCAACCCCGACCTGCTCACCTTTTTGCCCGAGAGCAGATCTTCTCCGAGTAAGTCGTCCTCGAGCTCACTGCAGGTGCAGAGAAGACAGCGGGCGTGAGTCACGGCACAAGGATTCTGCAGGCCACTGGGGGCTCCCCAGGCTTGCAGGGTTTAATACTGTCATGGGAATCTTTGCTGTTCTGATTTTCCCTTATTAACAACACAATGATGAAACATTTAGGGAACCAGACCCAGGATATGACTCAACAAGAGCGAACGCATGTGTGAGCCTGTAGAGGCACCCCCAGGAGCACGGCGGGCGAGCTGGGACAGGGCACCCGAGGAGCACGGAGGGGAGACCTCTTTCCCTTAAGCTGCAGCTCTGCGGAACCAGGCGTACACGGAGGGAACCAGGCGTACAAGGAGGGAACCAGGCGTACAGGGAGCTACAGCCAAGGTCTCCCTGCTAGAACAGCCGCCGGCGCACACAGACCGTCACTCAAGTCTCCGGGAGTGGGCAAAGCCCGCTCTGGTGACGAGACGGGGCAACAGAGCGGCCTTCCCACACTGCCCTGCTTGGGAGGCAGGGAAGCCGCGCGGAGGGAGCTGGGCGTGGCGCCGAGAAGCAGGCCCGTTTATGGGCGTCAGGGTCCCGCACAGCCACAAACAAAAAGGCGCCTCGGGCTCCGACTCACTTTCCCCTTCCCTCTCACCCTTAGGTCTGCACGCGGCCCTGGCTCTCAGCAGCCAGAGACAAGCACAGACACAGGACGGCACCTAAGGCACCTGGCCTTGCATGGGGCTGCCTCGAGTCCGATCCCCGACATCCCAGGTGGTCCCCTGAGCCCCACCGGGGTGATCCCTAAGAGCAGAGCCAGAATCCTGAGCCCTGAGCGCCTCCGGGGTGGCCCCGAACCAGCCCAAAACAGAGCCCGAAGCTCCAGTGCGTGCCGCCTCCGGGCTGTACCTGTCCCAGTCCTCGTCTGCAGCTCGCCTTCTCCAAGACCGCTCGGCACCCGGCTTGTCCAGCTGGTCGAAGTCATCATCTGCGAGGGAGACACGACAGTGAGTCGGGTACGCGGTGCCCGGGGCCGGCACGGCCAACCCCCGCGAGGCTTCACTGGTCCGGACGACGTCCCAGAAATACAACCCCCGAGAACTCCATGAGGGAATGGAGAAGTGGGGCAGCATCACGGGTTCGATCGCAGGCACCCCTCCCCGCCCCCGCCACGTCTGTCAGGAGTGAGCCCTGAGCAGAGCCGTGAGCCCGGAGAACCGCCAGCTGTGGCCAAAAGACCAAAACCACATTCATTTCAGGGTCAGAGACAGCGCAGAGGGTCAGGGCATTTGCCGTGTACGTGGCCGACCCAGGGTTAGTCCCCAGCACCCCAGAGGGTCTTCCGAGCCCTGAGGGCAGGCTCTGCGGCCCAAAAACGAAAATGTGCATTCATTCCAGGAAATATTTTATAAGATAGTGCTTTGCGAACGTGATTTTTTTTAAATGTACATACATAAAAAGAAAAGACTAAGATTTTAAAAATACATTTTGTGATCATTACGTTCTTCCCAACTATGATGGAAAAAAGGATCCCTACTCAGGGACAAAAGGAATCGTGAGACAGCGCGCGCCTCGTGGTAGCTCTGCATCTTCCAGCCGCAGAGAGTGAACGGGCAGAGGCTGAGGGGGGCCCAGCGCCAACTGCCCATGGCTGCTGCTGGCCCTGCAGTCCAGCGGGGGGGGGAGGGGAGGGGAGCTGGGGATTATTTTGTAGAAAGGAAAAGGAAAGAATCACGTGGAACAGCAGGATTCAACAAGGGCTGGCCAGTGAGCTCGGCAGCGCCCAGGGCAGCAGGGGCGCCCACCACATGCTGCCCAAAAGCAGAGTCATACCTGACCCCCACAAGACCGGCGGACCTGACTGAGCCGAGAGGCCCCGGCAAGCGGGAGGAGGAGGGGAGCAGCCACCCTGGAGCCGAGACGGGCGCTCCAAGCCCCAGCTCTGGGCCAGCAAGTCCAGCGGACAGAAGCAGGGGCTTCCCGGGCAAGCGGGAGAGGCTGCTGCGGCTGGCAGAAAGGTGCGCCCCCAAAAGGCACACGCGTGTCCTGCTCGCGGCTGTGCCCGTGAATGTGACCCAAAGGGAAAGAGACACGCTCAGTACAAACAATGGTGAGATTCTGCTACAAGCGAAGCGACTTAAAGAGGGGGCAGTGCAGGGCCATCCAGGCGGAGGCCGGCAGATGCGGGCACGGACGGGACGTGGCAAAAGCCTATCTAGAGGGAGACATAACGCGGTGAACAGAAAAAAGATCCAGTGAAGATCTGAGATCAGCAACTTGAGGAACTAGGTAAGCAAAAAACATCAAAGGAGAGCACAAGGAAGTGAGTGATGGTTAGAACAAGATCCTGTTTGTTTTCTCGTTTTTGAGCTGCACTCAGCACTGCTCAGGGCTCCGCACTCGGGGATCACTCCTGCCGGGGCTCAGGGGACCCTGTGGGGAGTCGGGGATTGAACCCGGGTCAGCCACGTGCAAGGCGCGCACTCCACCTGCTGGACTCTCACTCCGACCCGCTACACCAATAAAACACTGAGCCCGGCAAGGTCCCCTATAAAACGGGCACAGCCCTCAGACGCCCGGCAACCGCTCCCCTCCCTGGCCAATGGAGCGGCCAACTCCCTCCCACTCAGCATCTTCAGTTCAAAGGAGAGACTGCTCCCTCCCAGGGAAACCCCCGGATCTTCAGAGGCGAAGGCACGGAAGAAGTTTAGAAGGCAGGGAGAGGAGCAGAGCGAGAAGCTTGCCTCAAGGAAGCCGACTAAAGCCCGGTTCCCAGGCACTGCATCATGTCCCTGCCAGGCACGGCAGGGAAGAACGGGGAGAGTAAGGCTCCAAGCACGTCCACTGACTGACCCCAGAGGGCAGAGAAGTCAGAAAGAATCCCAGCTGTGATTCTGAATGGTGGAGGCGGTCGGCCTCCTCAGCCACATCCAACATCCCCCACCAGGTGGTCCCTGCAAGAATGACCGTGTCCAGGTGAACACGCACCCTTTCCGCATTCCTTTTCCTTTGGGGGACAGGGGTGCTCCCGCATGGTACTCAGGCCAGGCCACTCCCGTTGATGCTCGGCAACCGTTTACCGTGAAGGCTCAGGAGATGCCACTTGGGCCTCGAGGGTCAAGGACCACCAGAGCCACACCAGGTGGGGTCCAGGGCCTACTGGGCTCCCGACACTCGAGCGATGCTGTGAGGGAGTGAAGGGCTGTGATGCTGGGGACGGAACCAGGGGGAATGCACCCACCCCCATTCATCTCCCCAACCCGACTGTTTCTCACTACACGCTAAACAGTCGGTTAGAGCAACTGTGCTGTCAGGAACGGCAAAGAGTCTGGAGATGTGTAGCACACCTACATGCAGGCCCCAGCCCGGCTTCTACCAGGGGCCCAGCAGCTCCAGAGTCTGGGGTCCGGACACTTGAGTCCCAGTGTGGGCTGCAGTGCATGGGCGTGAGACCCAGCTTTGAAAGGCCGCATCCAGGGCTGCCAAAGAGGCAGCACCGTGGGGAGGGCATTTGCCTGGCACACGGCCGACCTGGGTTCGATCCCCGGCATCCCATGTGGTTCCCTAAGCCCTGCCAGGAGTGACTCCTTAGTGCAGAGCCAGGAGTGACCCTGAGTATCACTACTGTGACCCCCCCACAAAAAAAGCAAACTTTAAAAATTAAATAACAATAAGAGGCTGCATCTAGGGCCGGAGCAACAGAACAGCGGGGAGGTCACTTGCCTTCCACACTGCCAGCCGGGTTCGACTCCCCGCATCCCATCTGATCCCTCAAGCCCTCCAGTAGTGATCCCCGAGTGCAAAGTCAGAAGGAGCCTCTGAGCACTGCCAAATGCGGCCCAATAAGCAAAACATGTATTTAAAGGTCCCATCTCTTTTATCACACGCCACTGCTGTCGAAGCATGTCTGACTGATGCAGGTTGGGGCACAGGTCCCAGACACCACCCTGACCTGAGTAAGTCCCCGCTGGGCCATGAGACAACCCCGATCAGATGCCAGCTAATGCAGTGGGTACCCAGGACAACCCACTCTAAACCCCGGGGCTCCGACTGAAGTGGAAACTCGAGGTAGGACCCCGAGAGGAGCGCTCTGGGAGCTGGGCAAAGACCAACAGGTAACGAGCCAAAATGGCACGACCAGAACGGAGCAGAGGCAAATCTGGGGAGGCTGCTTAGCAGGAAGGGGCTGCTGAAGCCATCAGATACTCTGTACGGGCCTTGGTCACTGCTTGTCCACGTCAGTAGCCACTGCGCGTGCTAGAGGAGAAACGCTGCCCTGGAGGCAAAGCAGCCGACAAAGTTTTTCGTAAAGGCCTTGGGGCGCTTCTCCAAGGGTCCGCCCGAGTCCGGGCCAGACGTGTCCCAGCCAGACGGTACACTCTCGCTGCCCTTCCCGGAACAAGGAAGGAGAGGGCGCGGCAGCGTTTGCACCCAGGCCCGGGCTCCAGCCCCAGCGCTCCGTTCCCCCAGCACACTCCGAGAACTGACAAACCAAAAACAAAGCGAAGAACTCGGAGCACCAGAACTTGCCGACCCCAGCCGGGGCGCGGCACAGGAGCAGGAGGCCCACCCCTCGAGCTGGGTCAGGAGGAGGCTCAGCCACTTGGGAGAGCTGGACTCAGCACTGAGCCACAGGGCAGGCATGTGCCAGGGGCCCCGAGGCTCCCGAGCCCACGCTGTGCGGCAGCTCTGTGCCAACGGGCCGGGAACCTGTCACCAGACGCAGAACATGGCCCCGTGAGAACAGCACCCTGCAGGAGGGCTGGGAGGCTGAGTGGGCCGGGCGGAAGGACAGCGAGGGGGCAAGGCGCCTGCACGCAGCCGACCCGGGTGCGAGCCCACACGCCCGACACTACGCTAACAGGCCATCTGCACACCCTGGCACTGCACATGCCTGACACGCGCTAAATCCATCCATACGTCCGTGTTCCTGACACTGCATCTGTGCACCCACATTCCTGCCACGTTCCAGGCCCGGCCTGTGTACACCCTGCCAACATCCGTCACAAGTCAGAGGGAGGGTGGGCACCTGCGTGCCCATCAGCAGGCTCCCACCTAGCAAGGATGGAACGCGAGGACGTGCCGTCGTTGAGGGAGACGGGCCAGTCTCAAAAGGACGGTACCTGTGGCCCCCAGTCAGACACAGCTTGCCCAGAGGAGCGAGGAGGGGCTGCAGGAGACGTGGACACGGCCGGGCCAACAGACACACATGAGTACCAGGAACACACGCGTGCAAGAGCCGGGATGGCTTAATGCCTTAAGCTGAATGCAAGAACGGCACCAGGGAAGCAGCTGGCAAGGCAGGTCAAGTCATGGGCAGGGCACACGCCGGAGGCAGGCGAGACCCCAACGTCCAGCCCAGGCAGGCCCACCCCACCTTTTAGCGCGTGCTCGCTGGGCCACACGGCAGCGGCCCTGCCCCCGCCACCACCGGGGAGGGGGGGCTTTCCCACACCAGCAACTCAACCAAGGGGCTAAGTGGCACCACAGCAGGGGCCGTGTGGCCATCCCAGTGCTCGCGTGCACAGGCGCACACACACACACACACACGACACACGCGCACCGCCACCAGACAAACCAAAGAACATCAAGAATGGACACAAAGGGAGCGACGGAAACTCAACACTGCATAAGCACAACATGGATCCACGCTTCAAGTGAGAGAAATCTAAAGCGCGCCAGGCCTTCCTTCCGGCAGGATGCTGTGAGCGCTCGTTCGTCTGAGACGGGCAGAAACACTGAAAGAAAACGATAGTCCCTGACACTCTGATTTTCTTCAAAACGGTGAGGGGCAGGAGAGCAGGCAGGGCCCTTACTGACCTGGGCCCATCCCTGGTACCAGGACAGACACCCTGAACAACACCGAGCACGGCCTGCGTGGGGCAACGGAGGCCCCGAGTAAGACAAGCGAGGGGGCGGGGGACTTGCCAGGCAGTGCCGGGGGCTGGGGCAGGGCCGCCTCTGACCGCGCAGCGCTGCCTGTGTGCC